ATAATACTTATTAAGTAGCGTACGCTCTATCCCCCGTCTTTACGTAGTTATACCTATAAAGCGATAAAGGGTTGCCCCTTTACTAAAATCCTCCTTTAACCCCCTTTCTATAGATAATATTCCTTTCTTTATACGAATATATACGATACTATATCTACGAGTCCGCTTTATACCGATAAGTTTTAAGAAGTAAGCAAAGAAAGTATAGAAGCGTATATACCCTACTTAGCCCTAATTCGACTATATAAAGTGTATACTAGATAATAAGAAATATTACTTCTACGGCGATTATAACCTAATACCGCCGGTACCTTCGAATAAACCGATTATACGGGCGACACTAATACCGCTACGGATAAATACGCTATCCTTAAGCACTATACTAATTATTATTAACTCTAATAAAAGCGAGATATTAGACGACGAGGTTCTTAACGGATATATTAGTAGGAGCCTCCTAGATAAAGCGTAGCTTACTAGTATAAAGGTAACCTATATACGATAGATTAAGATCGAAAAGGAAGCGGTAATAAATCTACCGAAGTATAAGTACTATATAGGTAATCTACCCCCTAGCTAACGGTCGAAGAATAGTATTATAAAGGCTATCTCTATAATAGTAACCGTATAAGTTAGGTTTATTATTACGATTGTTATTACGAGATACTATATTACCCTAGATAATCTAGATAAGATACTAAAGTAGAGTAGGTTAAAGAAAGGTAAAGGGTTCTTTAAGTATACTATATATATTATATACTATTATTACATTTGTCTATACCGCTATATAATTAATCGCTAATAGGATATAGGAACGCCTAAGGATATCGCGGTACCGGATTATAATATTAAGGATATAGTAGCTGCTATTCGTAGCTTCGGTAATAAACCGTATATTACTAAGGAGATAGAATATCCGGATAACACCTATATATATATTATATAGTCGTATAATAACCGAGATAGGCCTATTTAACCTCTAAATGCAGACTTTAAAGATAGGAAGCTAAGTCGTATCTTCCTAAACGATATTAATATAAAGGGCTAGCTATCTCGAAAGTAATATAAGGTGTTCCTTATCTTTAAGAGACGTTCTATATCGTAGCCTACGGATAACCTATTATACGAGGCTAAGGTTAATACAAATCTTACTAAGGCTACTACTACTCTAAAGAGTAAGGGCTCTTAGAAGAAGAAGAAGAAGATAAAGTAAGAAGTTAAGGTAAAGTTAAAGCTAGTAGTTAAAGTAGAGCCGACCTTAGAAGTATATATATTATCTTTYTATATAAACGTTAGTAGATAAAGTCTAATACTAAATTCGATAGGAGAGTAAAGAGTAGGTTAATACTACTATAGAGTATAACGCTACTAATAATAGTAACGACGAGTCGCTACCTTCGTTTAGTAAGATATTTATATATTTCTAGCCTATATAATCGTAAAGATAGCTACTTACTTAATTATAAATTAAGGGAGAGCTAGAAATTAAGGGAGAGCTAGGAACTAAGGAAGTAGAGTAATAATATCCTACCTTAGGAGGTTTAAGCTATAAGCGGACGATCTCGAAGGTTTCGTAATTATCTAAGAATATAAGTAAACTACCCGCAAATTATACGCGTAATCGGTCGAAGCGTCGTTAATCTAAAAGGTTGCGATAAGAATAAAGATAGTAGGTACTTCGTAAGTTTAGAGAGGAGTTATTTTTAGTAGTTTCGTTCGTTTCTTTAATAGATATCTATATAGTACTACTTTAATAGTCGTAAACGTATTATACGGGCGTATATCTATTTCTCGATCTATCTACTATATAAAGGGAGTGCCTAATATATAGTTATAGATATAGGCTTTAGACAACTTTACTTCTACGATTAATCTATCGATTAGGACTATATTTATATATTAGATAAAGAGGCTATATCGGAAGCGCCCGTATAATAACTAAAAATCACCGCTAACCTCTCGGAACGGTTATATTCCGAGGTAGCGTAAGTAGTATACCTTAGTTCTACTAAAAAAAGATTATTGCAGAGTTGTCGCTAAAAGCGCACCGTAGTGTAACTAAAAAGTGCGTTGCGTTGCACCGTCGATCCTCCACACGGGTGACACTTCGCCGATCCTCCAGCTTGACTGATGACAGTCATATATATGAACAAACAGCAGCCTGCACCCACATGCAGCTGATGACCTCAACTTGAAATTCCCTCGATGGAGACAACATGAAAGACGAAATTCAAGAGAAGGCGGCCTTGGAGGCTCTCGGTCAAACAACAAACATTACCGGTGTTGTCGACTCGACCACCACCCCAAAATCCGCCGAGAGCGACGACAGCAGCAAAGCAGCAACCAAGGAGAACGTCGAAAGCGAAGAGGTCAAAGGAAGCCTTCGCGACTATGCTCGTATCTTCACCTTTTCAGATCGACTTGATCGCTGTCTATATACAGTGGCGTTGCTCTGTTCTGTGGCGTCTGGTGCGGCATTACCTCTGATGGTTTGTTGATCGACTCCATCATGGTCACTCGGTTCGCTGACTTCGCCAAATGTATTTTAGACGCTCGTCTTCGGCCAATTCACGACAGACTTCAACAATTTTGCAACAAATCGAGTCTCAGCCGATGAGTTCAGAGATCGTGTCGATCACTTCACTCTATACTTTGTGTATCTGTTCATCGGGCGACTGGCACTGGCCTATACATCCAATGCAAGGCAACCCTCTCACATCATGAGGTTGTATTTGCTGACCATGTTAGGTGTTGATAAACATCGCCGCCACTCGAACGACACGTGCCCTTCGTCTGGCTTTTCTGGAGTCTACGTTGAGACAAGAGGTCTGGCATTTCGACAATCAAGCCAATGGCTCAGGTTAGTGGTATCATCCTGGCAATTTCAGTAGTCTCCTGGACGTTCAACTCACACACGAGGATTGTAAAGTCGCCACGCAGGTCACCACCAATGGATCACGAATCACCCAGGGCATATCCGAAAAGCTTGCTCTTCTTGTGCAAGCAATCTCGCTTTTCTTCTCTGCTTTCATAGTCGCTCTCGCGGTCCAGTGGAAACTAGCGTTGATTACGATGAGCGTCATACCTGCATTAGTCCTGGTCGTTGGCCTCTGTGTATCAGCCGATGCGGTTATCGAAGCTCGAGTAATTAGGATTTATTCAGCGGCGGCAGTGCTGGCCCAAGACGCCCTAAGTTCAATCAGAACTGTCAAGGCCTTTGGTGGGGAGGGGAAGATTCTGCAGAGTTACGACGCCTTCCTCGCGCAAGCTCATACAGAGGGCAACAAAAAGTCTCCTATCTATGTTGTGTTGTTTGGAGTTGAAGTGAGAGCGTATGGAGAACCATTTTTGGAACCGAGTGCTGACTATTGGCTTAGAACTTCCYTGTTTTGTCCACGACTGCTCTTGGTTCGTTGAAACAGTGGCTTCGCCTTGGACACTTTGCTAACACCTCCAAGCCTTTTGGCAAGGCTATCGCATGTTTGCAAGCGACGAAATCCTCAAAGTTGGTACCGTTTTCACGTAAGTGTCGGATGTTGCACCCGGGAGTTATGGCTGATGTTATCCTCAGCGTTGTTCTATCTGTCTCCATCGCGACCACGTCAATCTCCCAGATAGCACCTCAGCAACTGGCCATCACCAACGCGTCATCGGCTGCATCGGAGCTTTTGGCCTCCATCGACAAACAAAGCCTTCTTGATCCTCTATCAGCTGATGGGAAACAACCGGCTTCTGTCGCTGGACAAATTGAGATCCGCAATCTCACTTTCGCTTATCCTTCCAGGCCGTCTGCTCCAGTCCTCAGAGGACTTGACATCTCTCTGCCAGCAGGGAAGACCACGGCGCTGGTTGGACCCTCAGGCTGCGGAAAGTCCACGTTGATCGGATTGTTGGAGAGATGGTATCAGCCTAGCGGAGGGGACATCACCCTAGATGATTGCCCCATTGAGGATTACAACGTCAAGTGGCTGCGCAGCACAGTCAGGCTAGTGCAGCAGGTATGACCATAGAAGTTGACTTGGCACTAGTAGACCGATAAGCTGACAAGTATTAAAGGAACCTGTCCTCTACCGGGGTACGATTTATGAGAATGTTGCAAAAGGGCTTGTAGGAGACCAAAAACAGGCGCCCATTGAGAAACAGAGGCAACTGGTGGAGGAAGCCTGCAAACAGAGGTATACGACATACGATGAGTAAGGTAACGAATGCATGCTAACGAAAGTAGCAACGCACATGACTTCATCATGAACCTACCAGAGGTAAGTCGACTCTCATGAGAACGGAGATCTTTTGGCAGCTGAACCACTATCTGTAGGCATACGATACCCAAGTTGGAGAGAGAGCATCGATGTTGAGTGGTGGCCAACGGCAACGGGTTGCCATTGCGCGGTCCATCATCTCCAACCCGAAAGTTCTACTTCTCGACGAAGCGACATCAGCACTTGACCCCACAGCAGAGAGGGCTGTTCAAGATGCCTTGGATCGCGTCTCGGCAGACAAGACTACTCTTATAATCGCCCACAAGTTAGCTACCGTCAAGGCAGCAGAAAACATCGCCGTTATGGCCGAGGGAAAGGTGGTCGAGCAGGGAACTCATGAAGAGCTGATTGAGAGAGGCGGTCTGTACGCCGCCATGGTCCAAAGTCAGGATCTTGGCTCAAAGTCAGGCGACCCGGATCCTGCCGTGGAGGACGATGATGAGACTCCCAACCTGGAGCCCACAACGTCACTAGAAAGGACGAAGACCGAAGCAGACCCTGTGGCTGCCGTTGAGAAGCTCACTGCAGGGACGCTTAACTACGGCTTAGTTCGATGTTGCTATTTGCTGTTCATGGAGAACTATCGCGAACTATGGTGGTATGTAAGGCTATGCGAAAGACTACTCCAACTACTGACTCTTTTTCAAGGTGTTATCTCATATCTATCATCGCATGCCTGGTCGCTGGAGGATACTATCCTGCACAGGCGATCTTGTTTTCCCATCTCATCAATGTTTTCACCATCGAAGATCGACAGCAAGCGCAGGATCGAGTCAACTTCTTTGCGCTCATGTTCTTCGTCCTTGCTATCACGAGCTTCACGGCATATGCTTTTATTGGTTGGACTTGCAATGTGATCGGACAGACTGTGACGCATCGCTATCGGAAAGAATTGGTTGAACGATTCCTATCATTCGATCAAGACTTTTTTGATCGTCCTGAAAGTGAGCCTGGTGACCACCCTCCCTTGACGTATCTTGTACTGACTGCGAGCAGATTCTTCCGGAAACATCACTTCTAAGCTCTCTTCTGTCCCGAGCTCTCTCCAGGAGCTCATCTCCGCCAACATTCTACTCATTTTCATTGTGCTGGTCAACATTTGTGCTTCCTCCATCGTCGGCATTGCATTTGGTAAGTCTTCATACTTTGGGGTCGATGCAGAATTAACATTCTTGCAGGATGGAAACTCGGCCTTGTCGTGGTGTTCGGTGGTGGACCATTTCTGATTGGATCTGGATATGTCAGGATTCGAATGGATCAGAAGCTGGAGGCTCAGGCCGGAGAGCGTTTTGCAGAGAGCGCAAGTCTTGCCACTGAGGCTGTGACGTCCATTCGAACTGTCGCTTCACTCACTCTGGAGTCAGAGATATTGGAGGAGTACTCCAAATCGATGGACCTCATCGTGCGTTCAGCAACACGAGGCTTCCTCTTCACCATGGTACCCTATGCCTTGTCGCAATCTGTCGACTTCCTGGTGCTTGCGCTGGGGTTCTGGTATGGTAAGTTACTTTCCACTTCTGTTGGTTGGAGAAATACATGTTGATGGCCTCTTCCAGGATCAAGACTCTTGGCAAGCGGCGAGTACTCAACGACTCAATTCTTCGTGGTGTTCATCGCAGTCGTYTTCGGCTTCCAAGCAGCAGGTCAATTCTTCGGGTACTCGACATCGATAACAAAGGCCGCCGGAGCTGCCAACTACATCCTCTGGCTCAGAACGGTACAGCCTAAGATCGCAGAAACCACAGAGAACATGCGAAAGGGTCCTCCTGACGACGACTGTCCGCTCGAACTGGCGGATGTTCATTTCAGGTATCTCCAGCGGAACGCTTCGCGAGTTTTACGAGGCATCAGCATCAAGGTTAGTTGAGGTTAGATTTGAGGTAAAACACTCACTGATGGTGATTGTCACAGATTGAGCCGGGAACTTATTRTGCCTTTGTCGGTCCTTCAGGCTGTGGTAAGCTCAATTCCAACCCCATCGTTGCAAATGGTCTGACAGTACTCCAGGCAAGAGCACGCTCGTGGCACTGCTTGAACGCTTCTACGACCCGATCTCCGGCTGCATCATGCTTGATGAGGAGAACATTGCCAACATGTCACCCCGACTGTACCGCAGACACATCTCAATGGTACAACAAGAACCTCCTCTATACAAAGGATCAGTCCGGATGAATATCTGTCTTGGCCTTCAACACGAGCCTACAGACGAAGAAGTACTGGATGCATGTCGGCAAGCCAACGCATTCGATTTCGTTACTTCACTTCCCGAGGGACTAGATACAGAGTGCGGTTCCAAGGGCTCGGCTTTCAGTGGCGGCCAGAAGCAACGATTGGCAGTAGCCAGAGCTCTCATTCGTAAGCCGAATCTGCTTCTGTTAGACGAGGCAACAAGTGCACTGGACACACAAAGCGAGCGAATCGTTCAAAAGGCGCTCGACGCGGCAGCCTCCAGCCGAACTACCATCGCGGTGGCACATCGGCTTAGTACCATTCGCCATGCGAGTGTGATCTTTGTCGTTGCAGAAGGCAAGATTGTGGAGTCTGGTACGCACGAAGAATTGCAGGCGCTGAGAGGGCGTTATTATGCCATGTGTTTAGCGCAGAGTCTGGATCAGGCATGATCTTGCTCGTTTTCGGGAAGGGGAACTCCACTCACACGGTGTTCAATTCGACAGTACGCAGCTCAATGAACAATTGTAGAAAGGCAGTCGGGCATCTCATGACATTCCACGGAACTAAAGTCATTGCTGTTCTCCCACATTCCAGTTCCTGAAGTTCGACACTGTCAGGTTTCTCGAGCGACAGAGGCCGTCCACGTCGAATGCTGTAAATACAGCCGTAGCAGTTTGGTACATCTCTTTCCTCGGGGAACAGGCAATTGTAGGTCATCGAAACGACTGCCAGAGGGAGCACATCAACCGTCTCCGGGCTTTCATCTTTGGACCGTTTTAGAGGACTTCTGTCCACTGATCGAAGTCCCCATGGCCAGAGACGTTAACCTTGCTAGGTCATGGATCTCTACTAGTAAGCATGCCATTTCATTGTGCTGATTTGCTCACAATTCCACTGGCGTATTCAATTGAGGGCTGCTTGAGTAGGTTGAGGGTGGGCATTAGCCAGCGTGGGCGGTGATCTGAGCCGAGCAGCGATGGAACGTACAGCTCGCTCCTCTGCGAAGCGATTGCAGGGTAAAGTGTCTGAGGGGGGGCAGTCGTAAGCCTCGCTGCATATCCCCAACCAAACGTAGGATTTCTTATGCTCATGACAATTCGCATGCCAGTGATGGCAATCGAAGCGCTCGCTGTATCTTTGATACTGATGCTGCGCAGTATTCGGCACGCTGTCGAACTCTAAATTCGGCTGCCTCACCTCAGCTTCGAGCTTTGGCAACTCTTCTCTCTGCACCTGCTTTCGCACCAGGCTAAACCAAAAACCAACCCCCCCCCCTCTCTCCTCACTGCGCTGGCGCTTCTTCCATAACATATCTAATGGCAATGGAGTGATGCACGCCACACAGAATCATCGCTGGTGATGAAATGTAGGTCGACTGCAGCTTCATTTTCTCAAACACCCAAAACTTCACAAAAAATATCGACAAACAGACTTCACTGCGATGCAGCTCGAGGCCGCCTCCGCTTCAATCAGACCGAGTTCTACCCAAACCCCACTCAATTCCGCTCTTGACTGAGAAGCATTGACGACAATTTCCGCCACCGCGAGCATCGACAAGCAGGGATTGCTGCACAAGCCAACCACCACTGCACCTCGACAAGCAGACTTCACTGATGCACAGCAAGACCGCCTCCGCTGCGTTCAGACCGAAGTCTAAACAAATGCCATCAAGCGTCCGCTCTCAACTGAGGGACCTACAACCCGGTTACACATCAAATCCAATCAACCTGATGCCGAGCACTGCGAGACCGACTCCAATGCTTCACTTCTCCACAAGATCTTGACATGTAAGRCTTCAATACTCCGCGCGCGATACTTCCTTCGCTGCATTCAGACCAGAGTACCACATTCCGCCATCGCCAGCGTCGACCGCAGGATCCCACCCGCGTCATGCAAGCCGGATCCTACCACAATGCCACTAGATACGCGGTGCAGAAATCTCCGCTTCGATTTCGAATCAACACCACCGACAAGAAAGATTCAATTGTGAAGTGTCGCGAGCTCAGACTCCGGCGCGTCCATACCAATCCACCTTCAATGCCATCATGACAGAGCCTGACCGCCTGTCCCTTCGCCAATGACCACATCAACAATCCAGACTCACTGCGAAGCATCGCGGGCTCGGCCTTGCAAGCTCACCAGTCCCAAGCGCTCCACCWGATGCGCAGTGCACGACTTCATCAAATAAAATACCAACAGCGACAAGCAAGCCTTCTGCGAAGCATCACAGGTCAAGCCCTGTGCTCTCCAGTCTTCCGCTATCAGCTGTCAATCAAAGGCATACATAATGGTCCCACGATTCGAGGTCAGTTCGCAGCCAATGCCTTGCTTTCACGATACTCGCAAGGCCAACCCAATCGCACATCGCGGGACGGTTCATTCATGATGCGCGCACGGACTGTCGGAGACTTCGCAGTCTATCAGATCCATTGCGACGCTATCGATCCAATTACAGCAACTCAGTCGACAAACCCTCGGTCCGAAGCATGTCCAATCCACAGCAATCACGCTTCTGCCGCTACGTCGCCGAAGACGATTTGCTCGAGTCGATCCCTACTCGTGGCGAAAGCGCCCCTTCCGCTGCTTAGCCAGACATGTCTCCTTCAAAGTGGCTGCCCATCCGACATCTTCAGCATGCTTGCTTCAAGCCAAAGGCTGACTCAACCTGTCCAACATTTCTGCTCTACTCTACCTTTGGCACATCCACTTCACTCGCGTGGGTGACTGCTCATACCTTCAAACTTCTGGACTTTCAACATGCGCCAACCCGCCACTTGTCTGCTCGACCGCACTGCCTCGACTGCATTACAGCCATGGCACTTCCACGTCGTCCAGAATTGTGCCCCATAATGCTCCGCGCGTCCACCAGATCTACTGCATCACCAATTCAGGGCGAGAAGCGCACTCGAGCCGCATCCCGACAACACGCGTTTGTCTGCCCAATCCCAGCCTGCTACATTGCTTCGCTGGCAGCATTTCCGCCTCTACGATTCATCAGCCTCAASCGCACACCGATGCCTTTAATACGAGATCCTGACGTTGGAAGGACCTCTTCGAAGTATGACCCCTGCCATCGTACGCAACATGCTCAGCGACCACCATTGCCACGGCCCTGGGACTTCGCACAAGAGTTGAACTTCCACTGGGACTTTCGCATCTTCAGGAAAGGCATCTCGACACGTACACGACTGCTCATCCAAGTCGTCCAATACTTCAGCGGCATTGAATACCGTTGCTGTTTCCGTAAACGTCGTTTCAGAGAGAACAAAACGGCCATCAACATATCCCATCCGATCAGCTTTGAACAAAGACAAGCCCGCCGAGACAGCTCATTGACTGCCATCTCCGCCAACTTCGAGCCCGTGAGCGTCACTGCAAGCTAAGACCCCCCTTCACGCCGATATGCCTTACCTTCACAATCTCCGACCGACAATCGCGTTTACCACAACGAGCCTTGCCGTTTTGGCCATGAGAGTCGCACACTGGTCTGGTACATCTCGCCAGCCTTCAATCTGACAATTCGCACCAAACGTCCTTGTTAAGTGCTCGAATCGACAAGGTCCGCCCAGCCGTTCTTTTCACAACATGACCAAAAGCACTTGCCTTTTGCATATTCGGCATCGGCAACGAGCATCTGCATTGACATTGCATTTGACATTCATGCAGCCTCCGCAGTTCTCAGCCGGAGCGTGGACGAGCTCGCCGCCGCCGTCGCAGCAACTAGTCGCACACTTGGCTTAAGCACATCTCGCTCAGAAGCTCCCGCACGCATTGTCGTGGCCAACAAGCTTCTCTCGCAAAGCGTCGCCAAGACTGGCTCCTGCCGTGCATTTCGGCTAGCCTACAGAAACGCAACATCACCAAGGGCTCGAACGAACCGTAAGGCCCCAACATTCGAGAGTTACGTGTTACAATGGGATAAGACAAGGTTGGGAGTGGAGGGGAGGGTGGGAGAGGACCCCAGGCTCACAGTTCGTTGCCCCAAGTCTTGTAGCTTCCGTATACTACAATGAGGGCCTCAATCTGTGTAAATGTCATAACTGCTCCACTGAGTTGACACCGTAAGTGACAACAATGCTTCGCCTCGAAGCTACATTACAGTTGTCTTCTACGTAGTCCGTAGTACTGTACCTTTGCTTCCCGTCGGAACAAGCCAGTCGGCTTTATTGGCTCCTCTGACTTGCAGTGACATTGTCGCCGTAGGTAACGGCTAGAATGCGTCAGGTCGCGCCTACCTTGTGAGCATCCGGGATCTACACCACCAGGACATCTGCGTTGGACGTGAAAATAGGTTCAAGTCGATACCTCGCGCCATACCATTTCCGTGCCTCGGAGTCGAATCCGTAGTCCAAAGGTCCGAAGGCCCTCGCCTATCAAGGACAACGCCAACCAAGTTGGAACAATCACGCGAGCACACTCGGACCGTGCTACTCCCGCAGACATAGATCTACCCTACTGTGCTAGATCGTGTTCAAACGGCGGAGAGCTCAATTTTATATGGCCACGCGTACATGAATCCGGACGCCAATATTACGTCGTATAAATTGCGAGAGGCTTTGCGGTCGGTATCTCAAGGGCCAATGCCTGCGAGGAAAAAAGGTACCGTCGGCTCGAACCATTTTTGACAGGATGTACTTTCAGCTTCAGAGCTGTTTGCAGGGGTTGTTTTGAAACTAACAATCTCGGGGCGCAAATCCGATCGCTGTATTGACTGGGGTTGCAAGTCGTGAACGTGGAAGTTTGCAGGCAGACCCCGGCGGCTTCACCAACAATAGCTGATGAAATCATGGGACTTCATGATGTGCTTTTCCATCATTGATGATGCCAAAGGCAAATGGCTATATACAATTCGCCACAGCTGCCATGCAGAGAGCTATGCGGAGAGGGTGTAGGGGAAGCTTTCGCGTCTATCTCGACTGCAGGTGTGCAGTAGCTTGGAGCTATTGTTGTATGGTATTGGGGCAGACGCAGGGAAAGATGCCGTTGCGAGAGTGTCGCCATTGCCTCTCAGCATTCCAGAGCGTGAAATTGAAGGGGAGATTGAGTATGTAGGATGCGACGGACTACCGGCAAGCATTTCTAGTTCGTAGAACAGGTGCCGGGTAACCATCAACGCCGGCCTTTGTTTCAATTAATAACTTGCTTGGACGCGGCTTGCACGGGCAAGTTAGGGCAGGCTTGCGACATTAGCCTGAACGAGCTCCTCCGGCATGCTTTTGGAGCAGGTTGGCTGGAAGGTGATACAATGGCCGAGGAGGACGGGGCATGGTGCTCGAGACTGCCCCGCTGGGCCTACTGGCGCCTCAGACGCGGACTGCTGCTGGTGTTTGCTGCACAGAGTGTCGGATGAGAGGCCTTGGGCTTGGCTGGGCGGGGGATTTCTCTCTGCCCAGTGCCCAGTGCCCAGTGCCCGATGCCCAGTGTTATGTACGAAGCTGTGCGTGCACAGGAGCGCGATCTGGTCACCCCGGCTTTACGAGACTAGTGCAAGCGTCATCGTGAAAGCCCTCGGAACAGTGGGGGTGTCGTTCAATTCATTGATTGAGGTTTTGGCTGGCCGACGGTGCTGCATCCGGCGCCACGGCTTATCGGGTCTCACAGCGCAAAAAGCAAGGCGTTGCCGTTCTTCGCCCCTCTGTGAGACCATATTGTGAGACAAACGCATCTTGGTTGAGGTAGCGAGTGGTTTGTTCGGTTCGAGGTTTGGAGGTGCGCAAAAAAGATTGTCATCCATTGAGCTTGCAGGAATCCACCGGTTAAGCTTTCAAAAGCGGCTGACAGCACCAAATAAACCTTGCTGGTCTCCCTTTGCTGTGGGTCTGCACATTCTCTCCTTGAGACGGACGATAGGTACGGCCGCTCTGGTCAACGCTCAGCTCACCAATTCACTCTGCCTTTTGCACCACCGCCAACACCTCAACACCATCTCCTCTTCCTCCACGACCACCACCTTCGGTCGGTCACTCTCCCCGGCGCTGGACTCGTGCAGTGCGCCTCTCGCTGGTTCCGTGCATCTTCCCGACGCGGGTTCTGCCATTCCATCCCCCCCGTCGTGACGTCTCCGTTGGAAGCGTCCACAACACCCCAACTTGCTGGTCAAGAGCGCGCATCTCTCATACAGACTCGTTACGTTCCTCACGCAGTAGCGACATCGCCCTCCCTGGCCATCTGCATCGCGGTGACCACCAGCCAACCCGACTCCGACTCCTGGCCTGATCGCTCCTCGATTCGCCCACGCGCCTCCCCTCCAAGTAGCACCGATAGGCCGCCTCGCATGAGTTTCTGCCAGATCATACGCCTCTCCACTGCGCTTTAATCCACGAATACGCGTGTGACGACGACGTTCCGTGCCCAGTCGTTGACCCAACTCCCTCAGAAATGAGCGCGAGACTACACAACATGCTTCCCTTCCGACGATTATGCCTAGGCCTGGCTCTCTTGAGCTCAGCGCCTTTCACCTCTGCCATTACGCAATCATACTGCTCGAGTGAAAACACCGGGTCGGACTTTAGTGCAGGTGCGTCGGAACGCCAAAATACGCGCGTAGAGATGCCTCCCAGCTAACACACTTGCCAGTCACCGACATCTACCAGTCGAATGGAGCCTGCTCAGACCAATGTCGCAGCGAATACGCCTTCGCAATTGTCCAGTACCAGCAATGCTGGTGCTCCAATTACATCCCTGCTACACAAGACGACGTGAGCAGTTGCAGTCAAAATTGCCCTGGGTTTCCATCAGAAAGCTGCGGAGACGCAGGATCGGGCCTCTATGGATACATTCAACTGGACATCGCTCCGTCCGGCACCGCTGGAGCTGTTGTCGTGAGCAGCTCTTCTTCTCGGCAACAACAGCAGGTATGTCCTCCATCCTCGCGTGACCTTCTGGGCGGACTCGACCATCATCGAGGCACCCTTACGTGACATGTCCAGTGCCTTCTAACTTGATGGTATTCCCACCTTATTCCCACCTTATTCTCTTCTTCTACCGTGCTCTTGCACATTTACAGGCATTGCGGCCGGTTTGTGGTCCTGCTTGAACAAAGTTGACGGCTATATGCAGTCCTCATACTCTCCGTCTCCGTCGCCAACTCCATCGCCCACCAGCCAGGAGCCAGACCCAAGTACTGTGAGTAGCACTGTGGTCCAAACAGTGACCCAGAGTATCAGCCTGACCATTCAAACCACGGCTATACAAACCATCCAGACCAGCGAAAAGCCTGTATGCGTCGCACTTCTCATCACGCACTTCATCATCCCCTAAACTAACCATGTCACCACACCCACTCTTCCCCACACTCGCTGACCATCAATTTTTGGTAGACTCCCCGTCCTTCCCCGAAGCCAAGCACGTCCAGCCAGCAGCAGTCAACACCATCGGCGACACCAGTGACGAGCACGATCAAAACTACCATCGCTGGCCAGGTGGTGACCCAGACTGTTACTTCGACACCCACAGTAGTCGTGGGCAACGCCAATAGAGACAAGGTCGAGATCTCTAGACAAGACGGTCTGTCTGGAGGCGCTGTTGCAGGAATCGTGATTGGTGTCGTTGCAGGCTTGGCCATCTTAGCGGTCGCTGCATTCCTCCTCTGGCGACGGAAAAACAGCGAAGGAGCCGATGGTGCTGCTGCAACATCAAGCTCCAAGAAGAATATGACCAGGAACGTGAGCGTGCTTAGCAAGGCCGGCTTGCTCTCAAGGGGCGCTCAACCGAGCATGGGAGAGAGAGATCAAGATGATGCCTACATGGCCAATGGCGGCAACAGCGTGCGCCACYCCATGCTGTTTGGACCGGGCGCTGAAGGCGTCAGTCCTACCAGCCCCCTCGGGAGCAGCCATGGGGAAAGTTCCAGCAGCAGGAGGCCAAGCAAGCCCATGGTTTACGATCAGCGGCTCAACCCTTCGGTCCTGTTTTCCAACAGCGAAGCAAACGGAAGCCGCATTTCGATGCAAGATACTCAGGACTACAGTCGACCACTGGGCATCGCGAACCCGGACCCGAGACCCAGTTTCGAATCTCGTAAGAGCAACTATCGCGCATAGTGTCTTAATGTCACCTGTCATATATATTCGCTTTGACGAACTCACGCACGCACATGCATTTAGCGAATGGCGTTTTTATTTTGGGATATCTGGACGCTGCACACACCAACTCTGGTCTTGGATCAGTGCACAAAGCTCCAAACATTTCTTCACCGCACATAAACTTTTTTGGGGGCCGGCAGAGAGGTCGCGTGTCACTTTTGGGAAAGTCTACGCTTGGACACCACGACTGGACACCATGACAAACTAGAGGAGGGGGAAATTTCAAGCTGGCACGCTACGTAATTATGTTTGTATTGAAATGGACATGATTCTTTGCTCCGTTGATTTCATCTCCAGTGAAAGCGGCGTTCCAAGGATGTGGTTCACGTGTAGCGGGGGGATTGAGGGAACATTCTGTCTCGAAAACGACCGGCGCCTTATCGCGGAGCACTGGTCTAGGTCGACCACTCTTCTCGGCTTTATATGCTCGGAAGTCTCTGATCCATTGGGAGAGCAGATGGTGAGCTTGGGTACTCTTCTGTATTCCTCGATGACAAAGCTTACCAAGGTACTTGTGCATTTGATCTTGCTTCAAGCAGCTGCAGACAGAAGGTATCGAGAACGAAGGTGCTCTCTGCAGCAAGATTATCACTCTCGACCTATCACTCAGAGGTTTTGTTTGGGTGGGCTATTCGACCACAAAGTCAACTAGGTCACATTTACAAGTCTATCGCCATGCTATGCTGGGTTCGAGTTGTCACTCCAGTACCAACCCAACGACGGTCACAGTTCGACAAATCATGTGTTGCCGGTCGTCGTTGGTCATTGGAGCGAACGTCAGCCGTTTCACTCAAACATGCGCTGCAATGGCGTCTTTTCAAGACACGGTTCGAGTGAAAAATTACCTACTAGCTACATGTAGGTGGAGTCTGATGAAGTTTGGTTCCGGGGAAATCGATCCATTTTAGGCAATCGCAATTGCAGGAAAAGCTCCATTTACATGAACTTACACACGCATGCACACAAGTCAAGCCTTCCAGAGCTGATTCGATGCGGAATCGATGGGAGACACCATCTCCGAACGCAGCTCCCCGCTGCCTTGAAGTCTCGAGAAGGAAAGTGCGTTTTGCTCTTTGCATTTACTTTCACAGTATAGGATTTCCCAAGGGAGTTCCGGCATAAGCACCCACAAGATGCGAGCTTCACAGATGCGGCCTTTGCGCATTGGAATGACGTTCCATCCACCTTCGCCGATGCCTCTACCATCGGAGACTGTGTAGACAAAGCAAAGACCAAGGTATGATACCTAGTGCGCTGAGTAGCCCAAGCTGAGTCCTTATTCCTGGATAGATGATACTGCAATACAACAAGATTCCGACTGCACCTTTAGTGGACGCTGGCCAGTCAGTCGTGCGTCAGATTGAAGAGCAGAAGGCAAGGCATTGACCCAGCTTGTCTCGTATGGTTTCAGCGAGTCTCTTGAATGCAAGCAAAGGCCAAGGCAAAAGCCAGCTTTGCATGGATTGAAATACGCATCGCGTGTGTGACGTCCCTCGAGACAAGCTGGCGATACCCCTCCTGTCTGGTCATTCCACCACTAAGATATCTGCTAGTCTGTTTTTAAGACACCAGAGAGGAGCGTCCTGTCATCCATGTTCAAACGCCATACCCTTGAAGCAAGTCCACCAGGTCCACTGTTCATCATATTGGCGTGGGAGGTTCCTCCAAAGGCATTAGTTCACGCAACAAAGTGATGAGCGTCGACGAGCTGTGCGCAATGATCCAAGAACTGAGAGGCTGGTCCCAAAGTCAGGACCTTGTTGTGTAGAGCTTTGCCGATGGTCGAGAGTACACAATCTCAATCATTGGTACCGACATGGAGGCATGCGAGCTGGCCGTCAGCGAGTATGTGTGGTTGGCGAAAGGACCTGCCCTAGAGGTCCCAAACTTTCTGACCCACGACCTGAAGATGAGATTTTTCTGGGAGCATTGCGATGGTGTCAATGTCGACCCGGAGAAAGATGGTGAAGCCGCAGAAGCTGGCCGCGTCGCTTTAGATGCCCACCGAGCGCTGAGGTGTTGAGAAGTGTCGCGTATCGATGTGAGGTCTATCGGGAGGTCAACTCAAGTACTCGAAGTAAGGAAATGTGACTCTCATGTATAAACTGCAGCTGATGAATGGGGGAACTAGGTCAATTCTATTGCGGGTATCCAGCCAGGATCCTCGGATTTGCCGCGCGCGGCTGTTCGAGAGGGATGGACGTATTCAAGGCTGCTTGAGGTGGTTCTGAAGTTGTGCCTGGAACACATGTAGGCAGATGAGGACTTGTCCTGTGAGTTGATTGTAGCAAAATGGAACAGGCCAGAAAGGAGAAAGAGCGGTACCTATCGAAAACCTTTCATGAGCTCTTCATTCACTGCCCTGGATTTAAGCCTCTCATGTCGTGAATGTCACTCGAAACGACGACTGTCATTTCATAGGAGGGCACTCCAGGATACCGACAACTGCGAGAGCGATGGCGAGACAAATGAACAGCGACGCCGCGAGAACGGTGAGCTCTTCGTGATCCCTTCGCCACAACGAACCAGCCTCTCGGGCATATAATATCGCTTGAAGATCAGGGTTATTGTCAATGGCACTTCACAAGCGACCGAAATGGCAGATTGAGTTTTCTTCTCTTTTTGAAAAAGGCTTGGATATCGCTTACATGACAGTAGATATCTCACCAGCTCCTCGGGGGCATAGAGGTGGCGTCCTTCCAGCCAAGGGTCGGTGAGAGTGAAGGCTACCGGCTCTCCACGAAGTGAAGTAACGACAACACTCGCGAACAGGTACTGTAGCTACAAGCTCAAAATTTGCGGCCTTGCGGAGAGTTCACCGGATAGAATGTTCCTCAATTTTACCGGGCGTTAGGCGCCCTTTCACGCTTTTTTTGTAGAAGGAGACACATCATACCACCAGCCCTGTCATGAAAAGAAAGTAGACTGAGTCGGACGCCGAACGCGCCGCTACAGCTCGCAGCATGGTCGCACACGATTTGTGGAAAGGTTCCCGGGGCGATGCTCGCACGTTGGAACACTGGCTGTTAGGAATCGATCGCTCCGTTTTCCTTCCAGCATTATCAGTCGAAAGGCAGCGATCGTAAACTCCACTTGGTTCGAAGTCGGTGCAGAAGTCGCACCGAGTTCGCGGCTCGGCAGATGGCCAAGCTAGGGTGTACCATGGGCCTGATTCATGGCAATTGTAAGCTCGTGCAAGGCAGACCTCATGCGCACTCTCCTGCCTCCCTCTCCGCCTAGATATAATAAATGGCAAATGCACCCAAGCACCTTTGTACCCATGCTACCGATCCCACCGTTGGAAAGTGTCGGTCATGGCGTAGCAGAGCTGTATCGACGTTGAGGTTGGAAGCATTACCGCAACGGTGGCTTGCCGAGGACCTGCACGACGCACCTGTCGCCGTGTTGCTCGCTGGGGACGAGGGAAGCTTTTAGTCTTCTAGAGTGCAGAAGCGCGATGCCCGCCTCAGGGGAAAAAGTCGTCGGCGAACAAATTGGCGGCCAGCACTCTTTCAAAGTTCGGCGAAGGCTGCAGGAACAAGACAGTTCTTTGATCAATGCAAGCTAGGATCCACTCGAGTGTGTGCTCGCTTCCTTGCTTGTTATTGCTGCCCAAGACGCGACCGCGGGCGCCTGCTCGCAATGGAAAAAGCTCTGCACCAGGTTTTGGGGGTGGGAAGTGGAGGAAAGAAAGCTGTTGGTTGCGATACCTGGTCTTGCCACACTTGCCTTAACAGCGAGGAATCGTGGATCGTGGGAAAGCACGAGCAAAGACCGCGAGGATCAGCGCGGAGTTAGGTTGATTGACCAATGGGGGATGTCTCCTGAGCTGGGTAAATCCCGAGCCACCAGAATTCTCCCTAGCGCTCCCGCTTCGGCATTTTTTGTTGACAGGGCAAAGGACTGTTGTCCTGTCCGAGCGCATCCTTTCGACCCATTCGCAGACCGTCTCCTCCTTACCGTCCTTGTCCACAGCAAACACGCCCCGTCGACATTTGCCCAAGTCACTATTTCGTGGCTGCCTCTCTCACAGGATCGGGCATTTGACACCGTCAGCTACACATGCGCGCCAATCACCAACACCAAATCTCGAAAATCTGGGGAAACCATCCAATCCAAACGCGGGCCACCACAAGGCAACCCCTGCGAATCACAGACCCACCACACGGTCACACCAATCGTCACATATCCGGATCCTGGCACCATCACCGCCAACGCTGCCATCCACCACTTCTTCTTCTTCGCTCCTCCACCACACTGGGAATGTCTTGACCGCCTTTTGCTACATTGCGCCTATCTGGCATGTGACTGTCACGAAACATGTCTTCCCTTGGTTCTGAAGCGAATCACGGCGGACCGCCAGATGTCTTACCCGCTTCGCAATACCTACAAGAGCGGTTGCAGGAGCGTCGCGCGAGGAACACGCGACCCAAGCGTGTGAGACAGTCTGACTTTGGACCGCGACGAGGCCGCGACGATGATATATTCCTCGCCGAAGCCGACGACATTCACCACACTCGTCTGTACGACAGCTCGCCATTAGCCGCCATGAGTGCAAAGGGTTCCGACTCCGGGCACGGCAGCAGCAACAGACGGCGCATGATGGGCATTCGCGACATGGATGGGGAGCTAGATCGATTGAACAAGCAGAATTTCGCACTAAAGCTAGAGATCGATCACCGCCGGGATCATGCACAGAAGATGCAGGAGCAGCTGGACAGTATGCGCGAATTGATTGATCGTGCGGAGAGGCTCGAGACTGAGCATGCCGAGCTCCTGCGCATCAATTCACAGCTGGTGAATGAGTTGGAGAAACGTGACAAGGCTGTGGAAGAGGCCATGGACATAATATGTGATCTTGAGGAGCAGAACAACGAGTTGGTCGAGCGCAACAGCAACACCAGGCCATCAACTGCTCATGCAGATTCTGGGTATGCCGGAACGGAAATGCCAGAGCACGACTCTCCTTCTTCTCGTCCTGGTGCCGACACCCGGCCAAAGTCTCCCACCATCAATGTACGCCAACCATCGCTGCCAGCTTCTGCYGCCTCCAAGAAGCTTCAAGGTCTTCTCAACGATCAAACACCTGCACGGGCGAGGAGAGAGCCGAATATCCTGAGCGAGCAGAAGCCTAGCACACACGCTCTACGCAGCGTGTACATGGAGAACGCAAAGCAGCTCCACTCGGTGAAGAGTTTCCAATCGCTGCTTTCGAGGCAGGAGAACAAGCTTGACGAGGATCTCGACGATGCTCTCAACTCTCCACGGCTGAGTGTGCTGAGCGAAAGCAGCTTCCCGTCCATCTACAGTCCCAAGCAACAGCTCAGTCCGGATCGTTTTGCTTGGGAAGATGCGATTGACGACGATACTGCTTCACCATCAATCCGTACGCGTTCGCAGCCACGACAAGATAGCATCAAGCGAGTCAGCCAGTGGATCTCAGAGCGAGATGCTGCGGAAACTACCCCGTCGAAATCGAATCACATCTCATCCCCACTTCAGCTGAAGATGGATGAAGATATGCCACCGCCGCCTATGCCACGCCATGCTGCTCTGCAGAGCCACTACCACTCACTCAACAATGCTTTGTCTGAAGTTGCAGTTTGCTCGCCGGAGTTCCTCAGACAGCCACATCGTCTCGATCTACATGAGCCTTCGGGGGCACAAAGACGAAAGCTTGAGTCATCGCGCCCACGACCGATGAGTCTTATTGGTCCCACTCCAGGGTCGCCGCTTCTGCCTCCCACCCCTGATAGCGTCAGCACGCGTATGCTCCGTGCGTCGAGGTCTAGCATCATCGGTGAACGAAGCTTACTAGACATTACTCCAGCTGTCGTGAGAGGTTTCGATGCTCTCGAGCCTGGCATCCGGACTGCTCCAAAACAGATGAGGTCTTCGGTCGAGTTGAGTAGTGCTTATAACAGTAACGTGGGGCACCGTCACTCGATCGCCGCGCATGGTATTGGCGTTGATGAGAGCTCTGAAGACGAAGATTTTGGTGAAGCAGATCGCCTTTCCGCAAGCGCGTGCGACTTTGGCATTGAATACGATGGCTTCCCGGACGGGAAAAGTATCAAAATGGGCACTCCCAGCCGATTCTTCAAACATCCACAGCCACCTGATATGTTTAATCTCAACAACATGTCTCCGCCACAGGCCGCAAAGGTTAATATTCCATCACCGCGAAGGCGGCGGTCTAGCGATCAAATCTACAGCAGTCTCACCAAGCCACGGATGGTTAGGGTAGAGACAAGTCCGACTCTTCTCGGGACACTCGGCCGTATGGTCAGCGGGGGAGGAAAGGCGTCGGCAGAGAGCATTGCGACTCCACGCTCGACACGCTCAGGTTCCTCCGGCAACCGTACCATCCACCCTAGCGAGCAGCAACTTGGAGCTATCTCCCCCGACGTTGTACATGCGCGACAAGTTCTCACCCAGAGCCTGGCCTCGCCATCTCCATCACGCACTGCAGCATCTCCTGCGAGAACGTTTGGACAGAAGACTCAGAATCTCTTCCGGCGCTTGAGCAACAGCCAAGGAAGCGATCGCGAGGGCCGGGAGAAATCGCCATTACCCACATTGACTCAATCACCGGCATCTGTCTACGCCGACAACATTCCAATTGAATTGCGGCGACCAATGACCAGCAACACCGATCGAACGACGCGAACCACGGCCACTGGTCCATCAGATCATCGAGTGCCAAGCAGCCGGGATCTCGAACGACCTTCACTACAAGCGCGCACTTTCACGGAGCCGGGCAACGCTCGACCACCATCGGCTTCTGGTATCACGGCTGCTGAAAGGGAAAAGCGAAACATCTTCAAGCGCAGCAACAGCCTTAAAAAGGCAGCCCCCGAAGCAGGTGTTGCACCGGAGACCCGGCGTAGAGGCAGCATTAGAGAGGTTGTGAGTACAGCACGGCGACCTTGGCGATAGACCATTCGCACTAGATCTGTTCATTCGCTGTTCAGCTACAGCGGTGGCAGCTATCCTTCACGATGAGAAACGACGCAATAGGGCACGAAGAATGCTCTTTACGATCTGATGAAAAGCGGTACTCTTTTTCCTGTACATCTAAAATTGTAATACTACGACAGCGAACGAGTGCGTGGTACGAGTCACCATGACTCTAGATATGATCAGTATGAACACCCAACATGATTTAGATCCCTCCCTAGCAGCAGGTCAGTATTCCCCGCATGGATTATAGCAGATAGCTGACACGACTGGTTCCTTTTGAACGACTAATTTTCTTCACTTGCGTCGTTCCACATAGCTTTGTGCTATCAACATGAGTCCCTCCACACGGATACGTTTCCGCTCCTACAATTTTCACCACCCGAAACTTCTCACTATCGTCCATTCCCATGGCCTTGCGGTCAGGCGTCAATCGCTCCAAGTGGTTCGCCTTGAAGTCAGCTTCATCCCACCAATCGATCTCAATTGGCATGTCCTTTTCGATGTACGTATCCACCAGCTTCTGGATATCGTCCTTCCACTTTCCTTCTATCAAGCCCGTGAATTCACACGATGCCGAGTCCGGGAAATGTGATGCTTTGATTTCATCGAAGCCTGGGACGCTATGCTCCAAAGTATGTCTCACTGCCGCTCCGAGAACGTGGCCGGCAGAGTGATAGCGCGAGTACAGCAGTCTTTTCTCCGCGTCAATATTCTGTGTGATTTTCTGGCCTGGATGGAATATTGAGGATGGGGTTTGGAACCGGCCGAAATGGAATACTAGATTGGGTTCGGTGGCTGCCATTCGTACGAGGTGTACATCGAACTTGTCTCCGGATTCTCCTTCCATTACACCTTCGTCAGAGGGCTGCCCACCTCCTTGAGGGTGAAAAATGGTTTCGTCTGTGATGACAACGTGATCGTCTTCTTGACTTTGTTTGGAAAGAGCCTTGTCGGCGGGCTCAAGAGAAGAAAAGACCTTGACAGCTGTGACCGCAGCTTGGAAAGTGGAAAGCTTGCCATTGCGCTGGTATATCAGAGAAGTACGTTGCATGTTGATATTGCTGCGAGCATAACCCATTGACAGGCCCCGGAAAGCCAAAATATGTGTGGAGTCTCAATCCCACGCCATTGTTGATGATAGGGCGTGCGTTTGAGATCTGAGATAAAGTAGACACTGGCGGAGATAAGATGCTGCACGGCCAATCGCCGGGCAACTAACGTCATATGAGCTCCAGGCAAAACGGCTACTTTTGGTTCCCATTCCCTTTCACGACCTTTTCTCTGCAATTGCAACAAGGCTGTTCAGCAACTTACAATGGCTTCTCCCACTGCAGTCTTCAGGTCCGGCGCGACCGCTTTGATTACAGGAGCGGCATCGGGAGTTGGCCTCTCCGTTGCGAAGCTTTGTGCTGCGCACTCTATGGACCTCATTCTTGTCGACAACAACAGTTCAGCGCTTGCTTCCGCCAAATCAGCAATCTCAACCAAGGGAAGCGTGGAATTCCACACGATGGATGTCGGCTCCCTGTCCGACTGGGCAAGCCTCAAAACGAGCGTCGAGAATAGCGGCAAGAAGCTCGACTTCTTGCATTTGAATGCAGGAATTGGTTTGAACGGTAAATGGGACGACAGTGCCTACTTCCAGAAGATATTTGAGGTCAATCTGTTTGGCGTCGTRAACGGTCTCAACACGTTTGTCTCTCACTTCGAGAACAACACCGCGGACAGGAAGGCGATCGTCGTCACGGGATCCAAACAGGGAATCACGAACCCACCCGGTAACCCTGCTTACAATGCGTCCAAATCTGCGGTCAAGACTCTTACGGAGCACCTATCCTTTGATCTGACCAAGTCAAGTCCCAGCACTTCGGTGCATCTGCTTGTCCCAGGATGGACATTCACGGGACTGACCGGAGGCGGCGCCACGAAGGAGAAGCCCGCGGGTGCCTGGGCCCCTGAGCAGGTGAGAGGAATACTTCGACGCACAGGGGATGCAAATCTTTTTATGCTCCGTACTAATACCGAATGCCCGTAGGTCGCTGACTACCTGTACAAGAAGATGGATGGATCCTTTTATATCATGTAAGTTGCCACACGAGATGTTGGAGGCACATGGCTCTTCTCGAACCACGCCCCAATCTCAGTTTAAAGGATTTGAACTCGTGCTAATCCGTTCAGATGTCCTGATAATGATGTGGACGAGGAAACGGATCGCAAGAGAATGACCTGGACCATGGGTGACGTTGTTTACGACAGAAAGCCACAAAGTCGATGGCTGGATGAGTTCAAGGAGGAGGCAACGGAGACTATGAACCAGATGAAGCTTGGCGGGAAGCAGGCGGGTAGCTCGTGCTAGAGCTTAAACTTTGCAACTGTATTTTCTGGTGGCCTCATGTATTCTCTATATGCATGGACACCGCCTAGCAGTCAATTGCTGTTCTACAGCAGGCGCTTCGATATGACCTCCTCAGTCGTCGCCACCAGATCTTCAAACACTTTCCTAACATACTTCTCCTCGGCAAGTGGATTCGCAGCCACAACGCGAATTGCACTGACGCCGTTGACAACGGTAGAGGTGAGGAAGAACTCTTTCCGCTCATCTATCAGGGCGAAAACCTCCATAGTGATCTCATTCCTGGCCTTTARCGTCGCATCACTGGTGTTGGACTGGGAAGGAAGCTTGCCGGGGTCTTCTATCTTCTCTTCGTCGGCACTGTCCTTAGCGCCCAATTGCGGATTTTGCGAATTGCGAGTATTGATCGTCAGAACCGTGAGGGCGAAGTCCGGAGGTGATAGTATACTGAACAGATCGCTCCTGCCTCTCACAAGATCGGCGAAGAGGTTTCCCAGAGCGATGTGATGTCTTATATGTTCTTGCAGGCCTTTGATACCCCAGGTCCTCACCACGAACCAGATCTTCAATGAACGGAATCTTCTTCCAAGCGGTATTTGCCAGTCCCGATAGTCCGTAACAAGACCGGTTTCGGTGAATTGGTTCTTAAGATATGATGGTGTAATGCTCAGGGCATCGGTGAGGTCTCGTCGGTTCTGCACATACAGACAGGAAGCATCGAAATTTGTCAACAGCCACTTGTGCATGTTGAAGTCGAATGAGTCCACAAGTTTCATTTGGTGCGAGAGGTGCTGGTATTCTGGAAGAACAAGCGCCGCGCCAGCATACGCGGCATCGCAGTGGATCCAAATATCAGGATAGTCTCGCGCAACATCGGCAATGGATGCAAAGTCGTCCACTGCGCAAGTAGCGGTGGTCCCGATCGACACTGTCAAATAGTATGGATGTAGACCCTTTGCTAGCAGCTCTTCAATCTTTTGGCGTATGTTCTGTCCTTTCATGGCATACGCATCAGCATGGTGTGTGGCAATGCTTCGAAATCGAGTTCCTGCAATCGTTGCTGCTTTCTGGGAGGATGAATGTGCCTGATCTGATGCCAAAGCTACAAGCTTGGAACGTATCTCGCATGATCTGTCTTCAATCTCCTCTACATCTTTTAATCCTTCACGTTCCACTTGTCGGCGTATGTAACGTTCACGAGCAGCCACCATGACGGTGACAATGGCTTCTGAGGCAGAACCTTGAATGACACCACCACCAGCTTCTTTCGAGTGGAAAGCGCTCGGTAGGTCAAGTGCCTGAGCCATCCAGTCCAGAACAATGGTTTCCAGCTCGGTCACAACTGGAGAGCAGATCCAATTGAAAGCAGGTGCGGTCAATGCTGCGCTCCACATCTCGCCTAGCATCCCAGGATATGTACTACTCGCAGGGAAGAAGGCCATGAACTTGGGACTCTGCCAGTTGGTCATTCCGGGCATGATTGTTCGCTCGATATCCTTCTCAATATCCTGCCATGACTGGCCAGTTTCCGGTGGTGATGCTGGGAGAAGTTTTTGCAGATATCCTGGCGAAATTGAGGGCAAAACGGGTCGTGAAGACAGTTCCGAGTAATACTGCTCAATTTCACTCGTGACTGAAGCCGCAGCGGTCTTGAATTGCTCTCCCGTCATACCCATTGGTGGCACCGTACGATGGTCARGCCCGGAGTCGCCATAGCTTTCGCCATTTGTCCCGTTTACATTTACCATTGTCGGAGTCGTGGAGGTCCCTTTTCGGCTTGCTGCGTCGAACTATCGAACTTGTAGTAGTGGTGAGAATTGCTGTCTCCGAGCGTCCTTTTATCTCTGGTCGTGGACGTCGGTGTTTGACAGCGGAACTCTAGGGACAACGGAACACTTGAACGGAATGACTCCGATTTCCGCTGTGTCTACACTATTTCCCAATTAGGGAGGTACTGCCACTAGCCTCTAAAAGGGACCGTAAGGTATCTACCACTGCTTCGCCTTCGCTTGTGTTGAATTTCTGCAGCAGCTGTCATTCAAATCAAAAGATAGATATACTCCAGAGCACAGACGGACATTAAGAGTGAAACAGCTATCGAAGCTCCGCTCATTTAGATCCAGCCCTCCTGATTCTGCTGCCAGTCTTCAAGAAACGATCCATCTTGGACGAAATAACAGGATTGATGCGATCACTCCACGTATCGTCAATACCCTCTAGCATGATTCGTACTTCCCAAGCCAGAGCTTCTTCGTTGGATCTGGCTCCCTCTCGCAACACCACAAGCAGTCTAGCATGTCCACATTCAAGAGTTCGTCCACACTCTGGGACACATGCTTCGGCTCGATATCGCCATGGAAGTTGATCGAGATTTCGTGCCTTGTGCTTGACCCAAGATCTGGTAATGCGATGAGCTTCCTCCTCTCAAATGCCATGCTCATGAATGCTTACCTCAAATTGGTCCTCAATTCTCGCTCTGTGCTTCTTCCTGATGCATCGAGGACAATGGTGATGTTCTTATTCATCCTCAATGCTTTCAGTTCCCTGCTGTATAGACCGCCGATAACACGCAATACATTCGAGAAGTTGCAATCCGCAACCTTGACTGTCATTGCACAACATGACAGTAGAATAGGAAGGAACTCCATGCGACATCTTCGCGAAGCCAGAAGGAGGCCAGGGATAGATCTTGGAAGTCCTGGCGAGTGCCTGACAATGGTAAGGGGAAGGTCCTGAGCCGCCAGGGTGTATATCGTGTTCCTAAGCTCAGCTGGAAGCGAGAAGAAGCTAGTGCTCAAAGTTGCTCCGTTGCCAACTCCAGGCTGCGGCTCATTCTTGCTAGAGCGACGGGAGAAAAGCTTGTTCATGTTTCTGTGGCCAAGAACAGACCAAGAGTGTATGTTCAGGGGGAGAGGTGCTTTTGCAAGATCGTTGCCGAGAGACGGAGGTGGGTATTGCGTGAGGGGAATGCAAGACGATCTCTCGCCTACCTGTGCTAGATGACGTGCAGTATTATGCTGCAGCTCCATGTACCTCTCGTAGCATCGGACTGAAACTTGACGCCATGTTTTGCGTGCGAATGCTGTTCGCGGGGTCCATGGTCAGAATGCACGCCTTGAGGCGGACACGATCAGTGCTCGTAGTATGCAAGTACAGAGTTATCAGCGATCATGTGTGGTCTGGTATGATTGCTGTGTTGCGAAAGATGAGATGTGGGAAGTGATGGATGGCGGCATTGGCAGCGATTCCAATGGGGCAAGCACCAGAATCGATTTGAGATGCGCCATACCCACCAGGTCTAATTGATGGATTTATCATCGTGGACGCCATGAACTTGGAAGCGTGGTGTGTCGAAACTTGAAAGCAAACAATAATTCTGTCCGCGTTCACCTCGGTACACAGTTGTTAGTTCATTCAGTCTCACCCAATCGAGACCGCTGACATGACGCGCTGATCATAGCTCCCAAACTTTCGAGCCAGGTCGAGACTCGATACAGCTGCAAGGTCAACACTTCTGCCACATCATCCACATTCGCCAACGACATCGCGAAGATGAGCAGTCAACCCATCAAGACGTTGACAAGGCGAGCAACCGCTTCACAATGCCACACACTTCAGCAGCACAAGCCCCGGAGATGGGATCGAAACATGGCCACGGTAGTGCCTCCCGTCACGCAGAACTCGGTCAGCAAGAAGGGCCCCACGGCCATGGTCTTCATGAACATGGGCGGCCCCGCGACCACAGATGAAGTTGGAGGTTTTCTTTCTCGCCTTTTCGCCGATGCCGACCTCATTCCTCTCGGTCCTTTACAGAATTACCTCGGACCGCTCATCAGCAGGAGACGAACACCGAAGATCCAGAAGCAATACGCAGGAATCGGTGGAGGCAGCCCGATCAGAAAATGGRGCGAGTATCAAGCCGCAGAGATGTGCAAGATCCTTGACAAGACGAACCCCGAGTCAGCACCCCACAAGCCATACGTTGCCTTCCGCTATGCCAACCCATTGACGGAGGAAATGTACAACAAGCTGTTTGAAGATGGCTTCGGAAAGGGCAATGGAGGTCGGGCCGTTGCATTCACGCAATACCCACAGTACTCTTGCAGCACAACCGGCAGCTCACTCAACGAGCTCTGGAAATGGAGACAGCGCCTCGAATCACCCACCCGGAACGAGAATTCCCCCGCAGAGGGCTCGATTCAGTGGAGTGTCATCGATCGTTGGCCCACTCACCCAGGATTGGTCAAGGCGTTCGCGGAGAACATCACTGCCACGCTCGCGACATATCCTGAAGAAGTTCGCGACAGTGTTGTCATTCTCTACAGCGCCCACAGTCTCCCCATGAGCGTCGTGAACCGCGGCGACCCATACCCTGCCGAGGTCGCAGCTACCGTCCACGCTGTACAGCAGCAGCTCGGACACCGCAACCCCTACCGTCTCGTCTGGCAGTCTCAGGTCGGGCCTTCTGCGTGGTTGGGAATGCAGACCGCAGAGGCGGTGCCACAGCTCATCAAGAAAGGCCAAAAGGACATTGTGCTAGTGCCAATTGCTTTTACATCCGATCACATCGAGACGCTGTTTGAGATTGACCAGGAAGTCATCCATGAGGCCAACGAGGCCGGCGCTGAAGGCAGAGTCAGGCGAGCAGAGAGTCTGAATGGCAGTCCAACCTTCATCAACGCACTCGCAGATCTCGCAAAGAGCCATTTACAGAGCGGCATTGTCTGCAGTACGCAAATGGGCCTGAGATGTCCAGGGTGCAAGAGCGAGAGATGTTTGGAGAGCAAGAAGTTCTTCATGGGAGGCGGCGTCCAGAACAACGAGGCTGTGACATTGTAGGGGACGAGGGACTATAGACATTGCGGCCGTGCGCCCTACTTTTTGTATCATTAATGTATGCCACGGCACCTCATTGCGGGCGCTGAGTTGCTGAAGCGATGTGCATTTTATAAACGTCACAGATCGTCGACTGGAATGCTGATGTTAATCGATGCTTCTATATATCACTGTCCCTCGCTTCATTTCTCGTCCACTGTCTCCACCCAAGCTGCAATCTTTGCCGGCCGACGATCTTCGATCGATGCTCCGCGCCCTGGAATCAAAAAATCATCGCATCCTTTCGCCGTGCCTTCCTGCTCAGTTTGAGAAACCAACACCATGCAAACTCCTTGACAAAAAATAATTATAACGCCCTCGCCGTGTCATGATCTTAAATGTGCACCCCAGCAAACGTGGAGTGTTGCCATCAAACACCAGCGCCGGAAATGTCAAAGTCGCCCAAAGCTTCAGAGCGTCGACCCCTAACCACTCTGAACACGCACCGACTCATCGTCATGTTCAGCGCCGCCGAATCCCCTCAGAGGGTCGAAGACATCCTCCATGACAGCATCGCCTTGGTCGAGTAAGAGCATCTCGGAGGTCTCCCGATGAGTCCTTCCCACCCGCAATGAAGAGGAGACCGTCGGCCTCTCGGCGTTGTGACCCTCATCGAGCTGATTCGCGAGATTGGAGGTGTCCAGTGACCGGTAGGAAGAAGATCGATGGTCATCGTGGTAGATGCTGGGGCCTGGAGAGCTCACGTGGGACACTCGTCCAATCTCGTCGCTACCATCTTCACTAGGCGGTGCGAAGCTCCAGACTTCCATCACAGTCTTGCCACCTCTGCTGGCCAGCACCACAGCCTTTTCGTCTTCAAACACAACTCTCCATACTGCTTCTGCCACAACGCCCAGCTCGCGCACCAGGACGCCCGTTCGCAGATCCCACACCTTGACTCGACCATCGCTACCTCCAGACACGATTCGCGATTCATCGAATTGAAGGCTCGTGACGGAGTTATCGTGCGCGGCCAAACGATGAACTGCCGACATGCTCTTTAAACTCCAAACACGAACAGAGCCGTCACTCCCGCCGGTGACGAGAGTGTCGCCTCGTAGTTGAAGCTGGCCCACTAAGCTTGTATGTCCCTGGAGTTGGGCTAGGCATCGACCGTCGCGCGGGTCCCAGACTCGAACAGAAGTGTCCAGGCTTCCAGTTGCCACTCTCCGCCCATCAAAGGCAATGGCATATATTTGTGAGAAATGCCCCTGCAAAGTTCTGAGGCATCGGCCCTCGCTGATGCTCCAAACTCGGGCGGTGGTGTCATAACTCCCACTGACACATACATCGCCATGAATCGCCAAACAGCGGACACTGGCTTGATGTCCAACAAGCACGTGCTTGCAAACGCCCTTTTTCACGTCCCACACTCTCAACGTCGTGTCTCTGCTGCCTGAAATCGCAAGTCCAGTTCCACTCATCTTGAGGCAGCGGACTGTACTGGTATGTCCCCGCAGCATATGCACGGCCATTCCTGTGGTCAGATCCCATACTCTTACATCGCGATCGCAGCCTCCCGATACCAGAGTGTCACCACATGGTACCATGGCCCACACACCCATGACGTGTCCCTGCAAACAACGCAAATGCCGTCCTGATGTATCGAAAACGTGGATCTTCGCGTTGTCTAATGCTACGATAATGTAAGTGGATGTAAGGTGGAGGGAGGTTACAACGCCCTGATCTGGGGTTATCTGGCGGGTGTCGACGTGACCACCGTGGCGCCAGGCAGTCTCAACTTGGTAACGTTGCTTGAAATGCGAGCGATAGGATATGGCCTTTGGTCGGTGTCCACCATGGCGGGAAGAATTCGAGCGAGAAGGAGAGCGAAGCTGTGCTGGGGTCATCGAAGGCGGGGTGGTGGTGAGCCCCATGTGGCGTGTGAGATCTGGAGCGCTGGAGGATAAGCCGGCCATGAGCGTCGGACTCTGTGCTTGTGCAAAGTAACCGTATGGATGCTGGGGCCGCTGCGACGAAGCACCACCAGTCCCGCTGCCATGGTGATGCGATCTTGATTGCTGTCCGTCTGACATTCKCCGATATGCGTGGCGTTCACAAAGGCTCTTCCATGCCATGTCGTCGCTGACTAGCTCACGCCATCTCCTGCTAACTTGAGAGCTTCGCGCTAATGTCCTTGCATCTTCGATAAAGGTCAAGATCCTGAGACAGAGCTCGTTGGGAAGGACCGAGAAAGGATCTCTCTTAAGTCGCGGACCAACGAAGTTGGCCACAAAGCCTAGCAATTTCCCGTCACACATGTTGAGCAATTCTGCTAGCATGCGCTGCCGCTCCTCGTTGTCCATGTCCGCAAAAGCCCCACGCATGTGCCTGTAGCCGAACCCATAACCACGCGCTGAGCTTGTCGCGCTAGCGGAAAAATGTTCATCGCCGTCGTCGAGGTCAAGCAGACCAATGTCCTCGCGAGGATCTGCCTTGGACCAGTCTGGCGCACGGCTCATCGGCGTCGGGGAGGGGGCAGGGGTGGGCGGGCTTGCGGGCGCCGAGGGTAAGGTATTGCCCGGAATCACATTCGGGTTGGTGGGAATTGGTATGGGCATTGTCGGGACATTGCTACATGATGCGGACGGCGTGGCGATGGGTCGGGACCGTACGGGCTGCTTGCCAGGGCGGGAGTGGGTGTTGCCGAAGAAGCGGTTGTTGTTGGACATGCTGGCCATGCGCGCGAGCGGAGACGTGCTCTCCATAGCGCCGGGGTGGTGATAACGCTGCTGCTCTTGCTCTTGCGATTGTTCGACCTCCAACTCGTCCTCGGTGAACTGCATTCTGACTGACTGTTGCGGGCGCGCGAATGGGCGGCCCAGCCGTGGTGCTCGAAGTCGCCAGTGGTCTAAACACTCTTCATGCACAGCTTAGCTTAGGCCCTCATGGTGCGACTCGGTCTGCCTTCCGTCTCCGTGTGTCGTGGTGGGCGAAGTGGGTGAGTGGAATGAACAAGTCTTGGGGGCGGGAGTCGACTTGCGGAAGTGTTCTCTTTGTCCCCGCTGGTGAACAGGGATGGATGGCCTGGAAGGGTTAATGATGATAACGCACGGCCTCTGCCGCAGTTACTCTGGACTGTGTATCGATTCGTCTGTCGAGTCTCAGCTCCACGGAAAGGGAAAGGGTTGTGAAGACAAGTGGGCGTGTGCGAGCACTGGATGATCAATCGCGATGTGGTGCAAGTCGAAGCGTCCCGGTCTGTCCGCACCCTCCGCCGATCCTCGCTTCTGATGATCAATCCCCGCTTAGTGGTGGCGACGAGACGAGACAACCCCACGAGGCTGCTGAGGAAAATGAGATTGTCAGACGGACACGGTGTGTGGAGGCGAAGACAAATCCAGGCAGAAGGCACAATCTGCGCGGGTTCTCGTCGTCACATGGCTCGCCGGGCATGCTTTAGCTCAGGTGAGTCTGCATCAGRGATGTGGCAGAGGGCTCACCGCAAACCTGGCGGGTGGCTGTGGCGGAGAAGCATTCTGGACAGACAAAATCTGGCACGGTGTGGCATGTGAGCATCATTGCATTGTTTCTGGTGATTTGCAACTGCACCGAACTGCGCACCGCACCATCATATGGAACTCATTTGGAACACGACATTCAATGGTAAGACCATAAGAGCATCGCTCTCGAATCACGCTTGGCTCGGATACAATACTAGGAGTACCGCTGGATCTTCGATCATTCGTGCAAGGTTGAGAGACACTCAACCTCATCAATTTGCTGTACTTTCAAGTGCGCACCATCGCGCATACCATACGCCTCGCTAAATTTCAAACCCTGTGAACATATCGACGTTGAATCATCTATCCGTCGACCTCCATCTTCGTCTCGAAGAAGCTGGTGATCGCATCGACCATGTCTGCCTTCTTGGTCAGTCCCTTTCCGACTCCTTTACTTGCACACCAGCTCTTCAATTCGGGAACCTTGAATTTCGAGAGCTTGTCCTGGTCGTACGCCGAACGCATAGCAGCATCAGTGACGCCTTCATCCTCATCTTCGTCCTTCACCTTCTTGGCACGAGGAGCAGATGAGCCCGCAGCTGTGCGCTTCGACGCGCCGGTATCACTGGCTTTGAGTGAATTGCCATTGGCGACCGACCACTCTTCGAATGCTTTCTCGACTTCCGCGCCCCATTGTACCACAAAGCCTGGTATCAAAGTCAGTAAGCTTTGATCAAGGTCCTCTTCTTCCTCCGACTTACCACCAGCCCGCTTGTGGATTTGCTTCCAGCGCGGGAGCGTCTTATCCTCCGGCTGCTCTGGCAGATCTTCCTCGAGGGCCAGAGCTTGCAAGATTCTGAAGAACCATTGCAGCGCTGGGTTTGGATATTTGGTAGCATCGTATATTGCTTTTGGCAGTTGCAGATTCTGAATGACCAGGCGCATTGCGTCCGTCACGCTGTCTGGAGCCCTCACAAGGTGTGTTTCTGGTGGATGCCTCACGTCGTCAGCAAATGGCAGAGGCTTAAGCCACAGCCCTGGCGGTGTTTGTTGGTCTCCGTCCTGATTGCGTTCTTCGGCGCCCGGTATCACTGCCACCAGTCGAGGGCCAGCGTTTCGCCTAGGAATGTACCATGCAATCCCAATCTTCTGATCTTTCAGCAACTTCTGGTGGAGGGCGGAGAAGATACGTGTAGATCCAATGAAGGAGTCCTCTGATGGGTAGATGAATGTCGACTGCTTGAGTGTCGCCCAAATTGGCAAGGAGCTCAATGGCTTGAAACCAATGATGCGAATGATAGGGTCGCCAAAGTAGGTGATACGCGCGAGCTCTTCGTCGGAAAATGTGATGCTCTCGCCTCCAAACTTGTAGGCTCGGCGGATTTCAACCTTCTCCACCGTGCGGCCGGTATCTCCAGCAAATATTGTGCTGCTTCCCACGGCAATCTGCGCTTTCTCGCTATCCGGTGGCACATAGACATAGGTGGTTCTCTTGGGCTCTTGTTTTTTGAGAATAATGAAGCCTTTCACGCTGATCTTCAGTCCCGGGCCGATCTCGAAGGGTACACTAGAGAAAAGTGCTCGTCGTGGCGCCGAACGAGACGCAATGGATGAGAGCAGAGATTGTAATAGAGATATACCATCTTTGGAAGTAGAGCTTGCGGTCTTGATATCCGCGTTCAAAGGAGCCGGCGCATCGGGGTCTGATGGTACCAAGGAGTACACAATGTCGTTGTAGAACTTGCTCCGATCGAAAATATACCCGCGATCGGGATGTGAGATTGGAAAGAGTTCAATTGTTACGCCCAGATCGTACAGATCCTTCGCCCGCACAGCGGCGCTGTTGCGAGCGTCTCTGCTGGCAGCATGAGGATAGTCGTTATCGGTCACAAGGAAAAGCCGTCTGGATGTGAAATTGGGAGCTTTGGTCGTGAAGATTTGATTCGCACAGAATAGCACGTTCGCCATGCTGAACTCCTCCGAACTCGCCTGCAAGAGTTCCGCAGCTTCTTCCTCGTCTTCTACTATGTCTCGTACGAGCTTGACATCAGAAGCTGCCGGTACGTCCAGATCAGTGAGGAGGTAGCAATGGGGATACTGCTTGCCCGCGTTACTGCTCTCGCCATCGTCGTCTTGGAACTTGCTTTTCTCTGTCCCGAACAGGAGAATGCCCATCATGTCGCTTGGATTGCTGATGATGCGCTGTTGCATCAAAGCATATGCACATTTCAAGGCAGCCACGGTTGGAGAAAGTGCTGTCTCTGGTTTCTTCGGGTCGGACTCAGTGGGCGATGTCAACATGCTCTTGCTAACGTCAATTGCAAACAAGACGGCATCTTTGGCAGTCTTGTATGAAACATCTTGGAGATCTTCTTCTTCTTCGTCATCATCATCAGCTTGATGGCCGTAGTTGGAGCTACTGGAGCTCTCTGCAGCTCTGTATGGAAGTCCAGGCATGTTGCAAGTTGCTGTCTAGTTCGAGTTCAAACGTCCGCAAGAAAGATGTCGTTGATGCTCCAGCAGTCTCAAGTCGCGTTAGGCAGGCGTCGCGCTAACAGGCAACCACGCTAGCAGTGAGCGTGTGCTAGCGTGCCAAATGATATTGACATTGTATCGGGAACTTAGCGGCTGTGTAAATGACTTGCCTCGATCACATGCAGTTCCTACACCCACTTTTTGACATCGAGTCGCAAATCCAGATCTACTCCTCTGAACMAATATTTGGTATTCTTGCTATGGCAGAGACGTCTCCGTTGTCGATGGTGAGGTTTTACCGAAGGCCTGTACAACAAAGCTAACCATTTCCAGGCCTATGCCCACGCCCGCAAAGCCGCGAGGGAAACGCAACTGAATAATTGGAACGAGGCGGCGGAAGAACATGGACTCGCTGCCATAGACTTTGCAAAAGCTTCAAGAAGCACGGCCGATTCCGAGGTGCTTCCCAATCACATGTCTGGCGATTTTTGGAACCCTGGAGCTAACATCCATCCAAGGCACTACGGATGATTACGCTTCTCGAAGAACAGCATCTTCGTTTAGCGCGCACTATCAAAAATCAGCCTGAGAAACCGGTAGCTGCCAATCCTAACTCGAATCCAGTCCCAGCTTCACCATCTCCTTCTCCGTCCCTTGCCAGAGAAATGGCTTCCCGGAGAGGCATCCCGGCCGCCAGCAGGAACCCATCCCGGAGCACAACGACCAAAACACAAACTCAAGAAGAAATGGAACTAGAAAATCTCACTCTGAAGCAGACTTTGGAGGGTTTGGTTGGTAAGATCAACGGACTGGAAGAGACCAACTCGAAATACGAGAAGACCTTGAAAAAATATCACACGCGATGGGAGGAGCTTCGGAGGAGCGCCCAGGAGAAGGACAGGGCGAAACGAGAGCGTGCCGCTGCGAAAGAAAAGGAGGGCCCTGTGGGAGATTGATGAGGTCGTGCTGTGTTCGTGGCTTGGGTTCACTTTCTCCGAGGCCTTCCAATCCGTGCCGATCCTATCGTTGACTTGGCTCCGACGTACTAAAGCAGCCCATCTGAGCACTGCGATCATGCTTGCATGACGAAAATGGAAGCTAGACATGGCAGGTCGTGGTGGCTTCCATGCGGCGCAGTTGTGACTTGATAGGGCGGAAACACAGCGCGGCATGTTGGTATGAGACGTGCAAGTGGTCTCAAAACTAGCCAGGTGCAATTCACGCCCGGATCCTTTTACCGGACATGAACTACGGAGCGTCAGTATCACTAGGATTTACGCGCGAGAAACGCTCGATGTGGCGGAGTCGCTTCCTTTTGCCGCGTGGTGATTTTGGTCGTTACAAATTAAACGATCTGTTGGGCATTTGATTCATCTAGAGCATCATCCTGCCGTGCACGTTTCTTAGGATATCACCATCAGCCACAATAGGTGTCCAATACACACCCAACGCCGGAGCCATAGGCGCTCCCGCCGACTCCAGTAATCTCCAGCAAAGCCGCTACGAGCCCACCAATCCCTTCACCCGCGATAAGGCCAGCTGGCACCGCATAGCCATTCCGTGAGTAGGAACTGCGCCACCGACGACGCCATATGTATGCCGCCAACGCTCCAGCAGCCATAGCGATGGAATACYGAGTTGTCGGTACCATGAAAGCCAATCCAAACACCGACAGATTGGGTACGTATGGCACCCAGCGAGCAGGGATGAGACGGTATCGGGCATAGACGACTATTATGGCAAGAGCGCCGAAAGCGATGGCGAGGTATCCACTCATCGGTGGGATGGGAAGACTGGACAGTGTAATGGCTTCAGCGACTGCGACCTGGCGCATGTGTCAGTTGCAGAACCAAGAGATAAAGCGTCGTACAGACATACCCATGCTCCGAGTGCAGGCGTGCTGAACGAGCACTCTTCGATCGAAGCGTCCAAGATGCACGGGTATGCGCCTGTGAAGAGAAGGAACAATCCTACGCTCAGCCATACTGCCACGAAGCTTCCACAGACTTGTCCATAGAACTGAGCACGATGCGAAGCCCCGAGAAGATATCCCGTCCTTAGATCGGAGACCATATCAGTGCTCTGTGCTGCGGCACCTGTAGCCACAATCCCGGCGACCAGGTTGACGAGTTGCTTGTCGTGAAGAGTGTACGATGAGCTCGAAGTCACCCCTCCAAAGACTAATTGAGAGGCTTTCCCGCAGTATGAGGCAGGCGCGATATCAGCAGATGCTGCGCATTGAGTTGCGATGCAAGAGAAGAGGAACCCTAGCACGACACTGAGGATTGAGAGCCCGACACTCTATTGTCAAGTCAGCTTATAGAGCCTACAAAAGGGGATATATGTCCTACCATGTTGTATTGCAGAGCGAGGACAAGGCATGTGAAGAACATTGTCAGCGTCACGCCAGACGCCCACATCCACACAGGCACACGCTCGTGCTGTGGCGCTGGATCGTCATCCTCGCTGTCTTCTCGTAAGAGATACTCCTCCGCTTTATTCTTCATTCTCGAAGAATGTTTGTTCTCCGGCAACCGATTCATGTTCGAGGCGATGACCAATTTCAAACCTTTCCACAGCGCGGGAGCATTCATGGCGACTTCGGTGAATGTGGCACACATCAGCAAGACTAACCCCGGCCACAGAAGGAAATATCGGGCGGAAGGCCTGTTGACAGGGTCGTCCAATTCAAGCGACTTGTAGTTCACAACATCTGGCTGGTCGAGGTGTCAATACATAACTTCTGCCGAGAGGGAGCAAAAGGGGTCAGGAGACTTACATTGCTTGCTTTGGGATTCCCAAATGTAATGCCTGTATGGTAAGTCGCAGGTCCTATGATTCCCCAAGCAACCACGGACCCTGCCAGATAGCTCAGTCCAACATTCAATCCAGTGAGCATACCGACTCCGAAGAATGCCGGCGTTAGCTCCACGATCCAGCCCCAATTGCTTGCCGCAATCACACTTTTCCATGCTGTCGTCGAGTAGATCCACCAGGYAACGTTCCATGTCCACATGATTCCAGGTGCATAGATACTCGCCGTCTTGAACAAACAAGCAGCTACGAAGGTGCTCACCAATACTTTCGCTTTCCGCATGGCATCGCCCGCCAATCCAGCGGCATGTAAGCTACGAATCGTAACAGCTGTGGCTGTTGGGGTTGGGAAGATTCCCTTGAGTCTGATGATGTAGAACTTTCGCAGAGCGACTCCAAAGAAGCAGCCATAGAATGCGCACACGGCGGTGAACGTGATCAATCTCCAAAAGTCCTCTTTGGGTGTGGCCGACATGAGGTTCAAGCGGTAGAGCGCTGGGACTGCTCCCTCGAAGAGAATTGAGAGACTGCCTGCTCCTGTTGCTACTGACTGGACGGCAACATTCTCGCGAGGTCCAAAGTAGCCTCCTCCAAGTTGTCTCGGCAGGAAGGTGCTGGCTGGCTTGAGGATTGCGAATCCCAAAATTGCGCCTAACACGCTGTTAGATATCGGCTCAGGGGCTGCTTGGACAATACAAACCAAATAGCGATGCACCAAAAGTCCATCCAGTCTTGAGGCACAAGTACATATTCGAGGCCGATACTACCGCTCCTAGAATGGTACCAACTATGACAGCTCGAATCGTAAATTGTGCAGACTCCTCTGGCTGGCCGCCAGGGAGATCGGGAAACGGCTTGGTGATATCAAGAATCTCTTCATCGTCTTCTCGTGGACTCCCTGTATCCTCGCTGGAGACAATGATTCTCGCATTTAGTTTGCTGTCGTCCATCACGTCCCGATCTGAATCCATAATGGGCCTCCGTCAGGTTTTCACACATTGGAAACGCATCAAGCAAGACGCTTCCACGGTTCTTATCATTCTTCGGAATCGACATTTTCGCCTATATGGCGCACAATGCATCCCCCACTGCCTATGGATGCTATCTGTATCAAAAGTCTTCAGCTAGGGTACTGTGGGTAGTGAAGGCGGAAAGCTACCGAGCAGCCTTCCAGTAAGATTTGCTTCATGCTCGCTTGGGCAGTCACTATCGTGTCCAAGAGCTTGGCAGTATTGCGTGCCCAGATCCCTGTCTTCAGTCACGGTATGGCGACTTCAATGTTGTTAGAGTCTCCAAAACATCCGGTAAGAACATTTGCACGTTCTCTCGAAAATCACATGTTTGTGAATGAAATGGTGCCGCAACAACCTCAGCATAGCTGACGAATTGGTATACTGCCCTTTGTTGTGTAGAATGGCTACACGTTTCGACCGGTGAGGAGTGAGGACGTAAGCTTTGAAATGAGACWCCAGATGAGTTGACATGTCCACTTTCGATAGATGCTGGCCAAACGTCCATCGCTCCCGAACCCCAACAATTACATGCTCTCTACTATCCTCTCGCTGTCCGAACATTTCCCTCAACAACCTTCACTCCCTCCCGGACCCTCGGGTCAAAGTGACATCTTAAGAGCTCTCCCTCCCACACGGTAGCAGCAAAAGGATTACTTCCCTCCACTCCTTCTGCAAGCGGCATGAATACTCCATCTCCTTTCCTCTCCTCTGTATTCCACAAACTCGCCACCTTCCCGCCATGCGTTTTCGTAACTTGCTTCAATAATTCCACAATCGCAATAGTCGTCTTAGCCGGCGCATGCAGCGCCAGACTCGCTAATTGTTTCGTGAATCCAGCCACGCGAACAGGAGGAACACTTTTTGTTCCTGTCGGAGGTAGAAGCACGGCGGAAAGAGATCGCAGGAGGAGGACGGTCGTTGTGGCTACATTGACTTTGTTTTCTGACTGTCCCGGAACGGGGAGATGGTTCGGATCTGCGAGATGCTGTGTCTTCTTTGCCGAGAGCTCGATGTCTGGGTCCATCGAAAGCGGGATCAGGGTGCGGTAGAGGTGTGTGATGAAGAAAGTGAGGTCGAGATTGAGACTATTGGCTGACTTGATCACATCTGTCTGTCCCTGTAGCAGGGCAAAGGCTGTGATGATGCAAAGCAGGGACTCTCTGGTCGCATTTCGCTGGGCTTTGTCGTCTGCAGCCAGGTCCTGGTCGGTAGTGGCCTCATCTGGAGTTGGCGCGAGTAGTGCAGCGTTGGCCTCGTCGATCAGATCTTTCAGGGCCTCGAGGATGTCGCCGAAGAAGTCTTGGTTGATGAGATGGCTAWATTTAGCAAGACCTTCCAGTACAGCGCCCATGAGGTGTTGGGTACGTTCCTTGAGGATGCGGAAGTAGGCCACAAAGACAAGTTTCAGTGTCTCCGACTGGTTCTTATCACGTTCCTCGTAGGAAACGGCAGCGTCAGCCTCTTTCAGCTCTTTCTCGACTTCTTTGCGGTCTCTCAGCACTTTGCGCTCTCGTTTCGTGCGGAACTCGCGCTTCTGCTTGGGCTTCTTCAATACCAAAGCGTCAGGAGCATCCTTGTCGATGGAGTTGGTTGAGGCCTTGTGCGCAAATTCGCTCAGCAATCGCAAATGAAGGAATGTGTTGACCACGCTCTCATGAACGTAAAAGTTCTTCGCCTTCATCATGCGTGTCAACTGCCCTACGACATCCAGCGAAGCATGGCCACCTTCATCTTCCTCGAAAAGTTGCGCAATCGCCTCCCTGCATTTGATGAAGTCGGCATCTACGCTACGACTTGCCAACTTCTTGACCAGGATCGCGATCAATTCCGGCCGGCAGTTGAAATGGGACACGCTGGTCATCAGTGCACATGCACAGGAGATGGCAACGCTTGCCRGTGCCGTGGCAGACTGTGCATCCAGCTTGGATTTTGGGTTGTAGACTGCGAGACGTCCCAGTGCGGTGACATAGTTCTTGTAGCCATGCAAGAGACCTTGCTCAAAAGCTCGGAGCTTCTTCACTTCTTTAGACGTCTTCGCAGCCATATCAGCTTCGGTAAGCGGTCGTATGCGGTATCCAGGGATGATGTCCTTGTATACCGCGAGCTGCGTCGCCATTGCCAGCTTCTTGATTGTAACATTGTGCGCGTTGGCCATTTCGGCGAGCGCTCCCAGCTGGCCAACATTTTCTTCTGGATTCTCACTGAGCTGAGCGGCTAGGCGGGCAAGTTCCTCCTTGGCCAGTCTGATCTGCTCTTTGACGGGGACAGATGGCTTTTTGACCGCTTCCACCACAACCTCATCGTCGTCGCTTGCCAGAAAACTGTCTGCGTCTTCATCTTTCTGCGGCGTCTCCTTCTCCTCCACGACATCCAATCGCGGGTTCTCCTTGATCTGACCATCCTGTGTCTTGATCATCAACCGATCCTGTTTGCTGGCCTCTTTCTTCTTCTTGCGCGATCGGTTTTCGTAATCCTGCYCCAAATCCCACTGCAGAAATCCTGGAGCGGCGGAAGCTCCATTCTCATCTCCAGGAGGGCTCAGCCGCCGCTTCTTAATCGCCGGTTCGCCCATCTCGAATGGAATCCAGGTGAGTAGGTGAATGTAAAAGGGAGGATGGAAGTCCAAGTAACCTTCCAATGAACTTTTTCGAGATCGGAAGTGTGGGGAAATTATTTTTCCAAGCAGAGATCCCAAAGATCATCAATCCATCCCCGACACATCCTCCATTCACCATCCTCATAACCACCACACCGCCACCATGCGCCCACTAACAGACGTCGAGACGAAGACATTGTTCGAGAAACTCGCAAACTACACCGGCCGTTCTCTCAACAATCTCCTTACCGATACGCTCCCCAGCTCGACACCACAGAAAACACCAGACCGCTTCGTTTTCCGCATCTCAGGCGATCGCGTGTACTACGTCCGCGAATCCCTCGCCAATCTCGCCGTTTCGGTCGCACGGGATCAGCTTCTTTCCCTTGGAACTTGCCTGGGAAAATTCACAAAGACCGGAAAGTTTCGTCTACACATCACCGCACTGGATGTCATTGCGCCGCACGCACGGTACAAGGTGTGGGTGAAGGCGAACGGTGAAATGCCATTTTTGTACGGTGGACATGTTGTCAAGGCGCATGTGGGACGATGGAGTGAGGATGCGCCTGAGCACGCTGGAGTGGTGGTTATGAGTTTGAACGACACACCGTTGGTAAGGAAATATCTGCTGTGGAAGCTTGTGAAAATGACATGCTGACTTTGATTCATCAGGGATTCGGAGTTACTGCGAGATCAACCGCCGAGGCGAGAAAGCTGGATCCTACTGGCATTGTGACTTTCAGGCAGGCGGATGTTGGCGAGTATCTACGTGATGAGGATACTCTATTTGCCGGTTGAGAGAGACGAGACAATAGCAGTCGCACATGATCGTCAACACGAGCGGGAATAGAACCGCAGCTTGAGTCCTTCCGAGTCTGCGCAAGGAGAGCGAGATTGCAGACACATTCAGCCAGCCAATGCCGCGGCTGGGGCGGCCAAAGAGAGGAGTATCGGGGACATATTCTGCAGACGGCACGGAGGTGAGAAGCAGTGGACAAGAAGAGCTGTGTCGACAAAAGTTGAAGAAAAGCGGATTATGGCTTTCCGCATCCATGTCATACGGTATGCTACATCTAAAGTGTATCAAGGATAACTCCATGCCACAACGACAATGATCATAAACTTCGTCATCCAGTCCCTGCCTACCATTACGAGAAGTGTCTATGCGAAGATAGAGACCTCCATTCCCCACTGTACAGAGATCAGCACGAGATCCTGCTGACGCGAATGGAGAACAACTTACATCAGTAGGGTTGTTGAATCGCAGGCCCCTGTCGAGGCTAGCGATCTGCTCAATGTCCTCCTCGCTGAGGTCGAAGCTGCAGACGTCCAAGTTGGCTGCCAACCGGCTCTGGTTGTTGCTCTTGGGGATGACAGCAATGCCTCTCTGTGTGGACCACCTCAACAGAACTTGTGCGGGTGTCTTGCCGTGCTTATCAGCAATGCTCTTGACAGTCTCGTGGTCGAACAAAAGAGGCGTGTCCTTTGCCTTTTGAGAGTCGAGCTCGAGGAAGGACTGTGGGCCGAAAGACGAGTATGCAGTGATGGCAATTCCGAGGTGTTTGCACAGATCTGTCAGGTTCTTCTGGACGAGGTATGGGTGGTGCTCGATCTGGAGGGTTTGAGGCAGGACCTTGGCGTAACGCTGAACATCGAGGAGCAGACCGCCGTTGTAGTTGGAAACACCAATGGCCTTGATGAGACCCTGCTCATACAGCTCTTCCATGGCAGCGTAGGTCTCGTGGAGAGGCGCCTTAGTGATGGCGAGCTTGCCATCCTTGTTGTAGAGACCTGGTGGGTAGCGGACAGATGGGTCAACGTATTCCATGGCGACAGGGAAGTGGATGATGAACAGGTCAAAGTAGTCGAGACCCCAGTCCGCGAGTTGCTTCTTGGCGATGGGAGCAACGCGATCCTTCTCGTGGAAGGAGTTCCAGAGCTTCGAGACGATGAAGAGCTCCTCACGCTTCACAAGGCCGTCCTTGATGGCGCGAGCGACACCCTCACCAGCTTCCTTCTCGTTGCCATAATCGCAGGCACCATCGAACAGGCGGTAACCGGTCTTGATGGCATTGTAGACGGTGTCGGCGCAAGTGTCATTGTTGACTTTCCAGAGACCGAAGCCTACAAGGGGCATCTGCAAAAGTCAGCGTGTCTAGCGATGCTGTGTCGAGAGGTGCTGAACAAACCTCTTTGCCATTGTTGAGCTTAATCACAGGGGAAGCCATTTTTGCGTATTGTCGATGAGAGTGTCTGTTCTTGACGATCTGAAGTCGAGGGAGAGCAGTTGGGGGTGGAGGGAAAAAAGTTGGTCGAGGAGAAAACAGAGCCGATCTGTTTATTATATGAAGTCAGTGACGTTGCTCTTGCGGTTAAAGTCGACAGCGAGCTTGCCTTCGGAATCCTTGCAGCAGACTCATTGAAGACAGCTAGTTGGTCAGAACCGGCACCTTTGTCGGCGGCTTAGGAGATATATGCTTTTGACACGAGACAGTTTGCATGCTGAACGCCCGGCAGAAGTCGTCTCCAATCGCGGTTGCCCTTCCATCGACGCGGGAGTGGGGCAATCGCGAAGAGGCTGATTGCAGCGCACTGCAGCGGAAGACGTCCTCCACATTCGCGATTCACGGCTAAATATCATCTTTACGGATAATCTAAAATCTGTGAGGCGCACTCACACGGCTTATGGCGGCTGGCGGCTGGATCGGGAGTTTGAGGTTCTCCATAGAAACAAACTTGGTGGATGCAATATTTCGCCATGCCATCATCCTACGAATTCTCATCAGCTTGTATAATGCCTTCCCGTAGTGGAGGTGCATCATTTGAAACAACTAGGATTCCGTGGGGCGTTGGATTCACTCGTCACGAAGCAGGGCAAGGAGATCTGGCTGCCGTCCTTCGTAAGTCCTAATGCTCATGCGATCAGGCGCCGTCCAAGACGCTTCATAAAGCTTGTTGCTCGATCGTCGAGGCACATCTAGGGCGGTATCTCTGGCTCACTCATGGGCCACACAGCCTCGTCGGCGAGCGCAGCATCCGATGTGAGCGAAGTGCATAGATGATTCGATGTCTGGTCAGATCAACAATAACTGCTGCTTGGTGTACTCGGCTGTATCGGCATGTACCGATGAGCGCTGGTAGATTAAATTGAGGTTTGCCTTGACCAGGGAAATGTAGTAGTACAAATGTCAAGATGGTATACAATCGCTGCTGGGGTACGGTAGGTAGTTTCGCAGACGGCCTCGAAAACAACACTCGACACAGCCGCTCCAGACTCGTCCAAATGCTGGGTACTCGACAAATCGGCACGCAAGAGAGACGGAAATGCTCTCTGTGGACATCGCGGTCAAGCGTCGAGGCCACTGCGCCAAACGCCTTGCATGCTTTTCTTCCCTTCTCCCTCAACAATCCTTTCACACAGTACACTCAAGCCGTTTATGAGGAGAATCTCTTGGTGAATTTGGCAATGACTGTGGAAGAGGGAAGTGTCAGTAACTACCATGGCCGCATATACGGATGGGAAGCAGATCTTACTATGCAGCGCAACCACGCTGATGATGAATCCAATCGACAACACCATGACGACAAAGGGATCAACCTTGAGTCCAGGCGACTCGTCCGTGTACAGTCCTGCTCTCAATTAGCCTTGCTATTCCTATGCGTTGCCAAGTTCCCCGTCTCCACATACGCAACATCGTGCTGCTGCTGCCTCCCGCACCTGCAGCCCTAGTGCTCGATGGCCGTGTGTTGGCAACCTTGTCCGCTCTGTCTGCAGCCGCCTTCCTCCTGATCGCTGTGGCTGGGCCACCTGGTGGTTTCGGTGATGCTGGGCGGGCGGTCGTGGTGCCGGTCGAAGCCTGCGAGTTTACCGGTGACTGGGGGCGTGGAGCTGACTACAGGTGCGTTGTGTGATTAGCATTGGGTTTCCTGCCTGTGAACGTTCGCGCGGGAGTGCGCGCATGTGTGAATGCGCGTGCCTGGCATTKCTAGAGCATTTGCGCTGTTGACACGTACCATGTTGCTGAAATTAGAAGTATGCGAAGGTCCGATTCAGTTCGATGCAATAGAAGTTTGAGCAGATCGTCTGATGGGTTGATGGAAGAAGTGTTGTGGATGTAAAGCGAGCGGTGGATGAAGTCAATGCGGACACATAATCGCGAACTCCAAGCTTCGAGAAGAAAGGGTCTCAACTTTCAAGTCCGAGCGGCTTCTTTGCGCCCCTGAGGCCACCCAAAGGCTTTCACAAGTTCACAAGCCGAATGGCGTACGTTGTCCACCACGTTCAACTAAAGTACTTCGTTCATCACACTTGATAGCAACTCGAGCAGTGTACGCGAACAATGCATGGACTCGCCCGAATTTTCATTGTTCATGTAAGCGAATGTCCTCGCAAATCTGGGTATGAGTGTCTCCTAACTCCCAGTCCGTCCCACCAGTCCTGCTACCCTCCCATAAAGATGACAATGAATCCCATGTTTGTGTCCCTTCGAATGAAAAGTAAACGCTGCCCACGCCACAAAGCGTCCTACAGTGGGCGAACCCGACCTGACGCTGCAAAACTCCTTCCCGTTTGCTCCACCATATACCTTTCCAACCCGCGAAATCATGAATCAATAAATTGCACGGCGACCTGCCTTCGTCCATCTCTTCGCAACTGCAAGAGCGCAAACACCGTTTTCAAATGCTGGGAATGCCGCGCCCACCGGAAAGCACCAACCAATAAATAAGGAAACTCCATCGCTATACCCACCAAAACGACCGATTCCTGTCGTTTGACGTGCCGTCTCAGCTTCTCTTCGAGCGAGGGTCCTAACCCCAGACGGAAGGCTGCACAGCCAAAGTGCTTTTGCCGGACGCCCAAACGCCGCTGTTACTGCCCCAATTTCCCAGACTGACGCCTTTGTCGGCCAGAGCAGGATTCGACGCGGCCGATGTCGAACGCTCGTCCTTGGCAGCGTTGGGATTCTGCTGGCCATCACTCGCGTTGAATCCGTAGCTGAGAGATGACGGAGTGAGTGGTGTCGTGGAACGCTTGTTCATGCCTGGTGCCTGGGTGGGTCGCGTGCCAATCGGTGCCACTCCAGACGAGTTGCCCTTCTGCCCCTGAATAAGGGGCGGCGATGCGCCGGGGGAGGAGTTTGACGTGCGGCTGGCTTGTTCGTTGAACTGTCCAAATGCCTGCTGAGCAGCGGAGTTGGCGACTGGAGACGTCGTGTTCTCTGCGCGATCCCTTGGTGGCATCTGTACGGGCCCATCTGTACCTGCTTGAGGTTGGCTGCCAAATGGATCAAAGGCAAGAGGGGATGCGCCACGGCCGCCGCTAGGGACTCGCGCATCCTGGCTGGAGGATCGAGTTCCATCTGCGTTGTATAGGCTGGAATTGTCGCCATACAGCGCGCGGTGCTGGCGTGCAATCAGTTCGCGACGATCTTCCTCGTTCATCGCTGCTGGACTCATGGAACGATCGGACTTTTGACCAGAAACCGCTTCTGCTCCTWTCAGTCTGTTGTCTGGGTGCACATTCGATGCTACCACTCACTTCTGTTGTATTGCTGCTCCTGGTGGTAATTACGCAGTTCGCGCTCACGCTGAGCAGCCATCCGGCGCTTCGCCTGCAGCATTTGCTCGGCTTCGCTTTGTCGGCCACCCGGGAAGCGTTGTCCGGCGTAAAAGTTTTGTAGACCAGCAGAGGCCGGGCGTGTCGCATCGTGCTCGCTCACGGATGGTTGTCGCGATGGTCCACCACCCATCCGAGGGTCTGAGCTGAAATCGTAGCTTCGTCCCACGGAGCTTTCCCTACGTGGAGTGGCAGCCGCACCGCCTGCCGCAGCCTGCGTCTGGCCGGGAAACCATTTGCCGCTCTTAAGCAAGTTGTCTGTTGCTCGGTCGATTTCTTCGAATTGCGACGCGAATGCGTTCGATTCTTGCCGTTGCGACACGGCGGACCCGGTGCCCGAGCGTGATGGCGGTGCCTGTTGGTGCTCCCACGAGGACTGCCGATTGGAGGCGGACCAGGAGCCGCTGTCGTTGTCGTAAAAGGACATGGCTGCGAAGATTCGCTTGGTGAGAGTCGGGTAGACTTAGGGTCTCTGGAACCCGGCGTCGTAGGCAAATGGTGGATCGGGAGCTTCGGAGACAATCAGGTGTCTGTCGCGTGGCATGAAAAATTAGTCCACAATGCGGGTATGGCAAGAACGACGTAGAAAAAGACTCGAGACATGGTAATGGGCGCAACGCTTCGCCCGAATCCCAAACTCCCGGTCGGAGACTTTTGGCCTCGTCTTGTGTTTTGTATTGCCGAGGGGTACGCACCTTTTGTCACGCACCGAGCACGCGCTGAGAAGATTGGGCAAAGTGGGATGGTGGACAACAAAGGAGGACGGAGAAGGAGGGATGGAGAGGCTCGACTTCGCGCATCATGGAGATTGGGCGTGAAAATCAGATGGGTCTAAGGAGTATGTGCTCCGCTTGCACGGCACTCGAGGATCAAATTCGCTCCAGCTTCAACAAATCAAGGCCCCTGCGCTGATGGGCGGACGGGAGCTCGATTATTTTCTTTGCCCTCATCCCAGCATCGGCAAAACTTGGAGCATCCCGAGCATTTTCATTCACTCGCACATTCCTGCCCTTGATGCACAACATCGGCGGTCGCACCGCCCCATGGCACAACACTTTCTCATTCTCATTTTGAGATGTCTCGCCGCCACATCTAACTTCACACCCTGAGGTCCGCACTACAGAACTCTACTCACGCTCATCAGGGTCCATCCAATCTTGCTGGCAACACGATTGACGGCAGGACAGTCATCTCCAGGCTCCTGGCCTAAAGTTGAAAGCGTATCCAGTCGATTTGATGTTCTCATCACCACTCTACAGCATGCCCCTTCGATTCTGACTCGCGTGGACTTCCCGCCCAGCGGCGACGCTTGATTGACACGGACCGCTGCCTTGACCTGGCAAATGAAGACTTCTGCAAGATGTCTTTGCTATTCAGAATTACAGAGCGGCGTTTCGGCGCTGTATACTGTACGTCTCGACGATTTCACCTCCGCAGGTCGTACCGAATCCCGCATCCCGCATCCTGGTCCGGTGCTTGTAGCGACACATGGTTCATGCACCTATCCGTGCTTGCTACGCGACTTTCATAGATCTGAAAACCCCGCCTGAAGTCACGGTGTATCTCCCAGCTGCCACCTTCCCGATGCGAGTAAGGAAGATGTCAGACGGCGGAACTGCGTCCATCTTCGTTCTCGTGCGACCGCTTGTTCGTCAACGTCCAGCGCCGCCATTACCTTAATCCAAGACTGCGGGAGCAGGCGCCGCGCATGCAGATGCAGATGCACAGATGCAAGTCCCACGTGCTAATTCCACATGCTGCAGCACGGCCGAGATCTCACATACTCACATCTGACTGATCTGAGCCGACGTGACCATCTACAGATGCCCATGTCAGGTTCTGTCTCTCCTGTCGTCACACGCAACAGCTCGATCAGAGTCGCTCGGTGTATGCCGACTATCTCAAACGGAGGTGAGGAATACTCCCCTGTCCGCCACGTGAACGGGCCGCACGCAGACCTTTGGTTGATCCTCAGCCACTGCCACTCAACAGATCGCTTGCCTTCATCACAAATTGCGTATGTCAGGCCTTGCGACCTCCAAGGGTTCGCCCTTGGGCTCTACGCAACTCATCGGCTCGCATCTCCAAAGGAAAGGCATCACAGCTGGCTAGCAGTCTCGAAATCCTGTTTTCCTTCGTGCCACGATTCTTGCAGAAATCAAGACACCTCAACGGTGCGTTTCATCATAGGTATCGACCAATCCACCCGTGTGGAGAGGCTTCGACATGTTCACCCTCATCTGCTCTGAAGATAAACTTGCGGCCATGTTCACCCTCCGGAATCGTCGATCACAAGTGTCACATGATGCGGGTGCGTACATGGTCTTAGGTTTGGTTTGTCTGTTCAGGATCTGGCCAGCAGACGAAGTCGCAGGAGCCATACCTCGATTGACTCTGAGACATGCCGCGGGTGAGGTCACATACGCCATGATATGGTCATTCAGGCCCACCCCTGTGAGTTTTTATCTTCAGTAAAAATCTCGCTCATTGTAGTGCTTTCGCCTCGAGGAAATCCGCACAAAGCAAGACCAACAGGAGCCAAAATCCTTTGACCACCCGCCAATGACCTCTTCTGCTGCTCTTCACATGGCTGGATTCCAGGCGAACAGTATGAGCGCTGACTTTACTGCCGCCAATATCACCACTTTGCCACTCGAGCTGCTCTGGGAGATCGTGACTTATCTGCCAGTATCAAGTCGCACCGCTCTTAAACTCACTAGCAAAGCACTTTTACTCACCGTACCCACACCGCCTCGAGATTGGGACCAGAAAGCATCGCGATGCGAGAGGAAGGCCCGCCGCCGATACGTTAATGAAGGTCGAGAAATAGCAGCGGGCAGAAGGAGATGTGTGAACTGTGACCTCGTCACTTATGCTGGCCGATTTCCAACGGCTGCCCCATTGTGTAAATGGCACGAACCTCGCTTCATGAGCAACTCGATACCAGGGAATCWCGATCCTGCGATTAAAACTAGTCTTCTCGGGCTCGCGCGAGAGTATGGAGGCCCGTCGTGGATCGCCTTCAACAGGATGTACTGCGCTCACAAACGTGAGGTAATCGGCTGGCATGAAGCAGACTGCGGATGCGAATGCGACAGTTGTGGGCATTTCCCGGTGCCATGCTTCGTTCGACTTCCCAGCAAGCGTGACACGCGGCATTGGAGGTCTTCCAAACTCACTGAGGATGGTTTGTTTGTTGATGAAGAACATTGGGTTGATAGTAAGTTCGTCAATGTGATTTGTGTCTGGTAAATATTTCTAATAGTCATTATCAATGCAGGTCCCGGAAAATCGTTAGGGGCATATCAGCAGACGGTACCCATTATACAGCTGGATGTCCTCAATGATCGTGTTCGTCAATCATGATGCTCATATTCTTAGGCGAGCACCGCTGGCAGCTCTCAGGACACCTATTCATCCTGTGAGAATTCCACATGCCGTGTGCGGAGCACATCGGCTGCTGCTCGGCTTCGCCATTCGACAAGGCAATCAAACTAGATCTCGCTCTGTGCTGACCATCAAGGCCGGCTTCTCGCTCTCGGTGTGGCACTCCGGAAGTTGACTCGATTTCTCCACCTCCTTGGAATAACGTCGCATCTTCATGGCTATTGAGCCATGTGCCGCCGCGAGAGCCAGCAAAAGGAAGACCACCACGATCTGAAATGCTCCTGACTGCACCTGGCACCGTTTCCGAAGGGCGAGGTGTCCAATACGAGCATCCTGGAATCTCCGAACGCTCGTAACGATGTCGTGATGGAAATTCTCTGGACTCCATCTCGGGTTGTAGACACTACAGACATCATCGGCATCTATGGAGATGAAGAACAGTTGCGTGACCAGGAACCTGCACAGTGCCCACACAACCGCATCCAGGAAGAGGAAGTTGGCGAACACGGCTATGAACTTTGGTTTCCTCTGCACCAGTCGATTAGTCTGTGGTAATACCGGGCCTTTGTCGCTCTGTCTTACCATGGTTACTCCCACTAGTCCATAGGCGCATAATGGAACACTTGCATATGCATAAACGGCGGCGACGAGGCTGACCAGGTCATTGGTGATGTATTGTCGTGCGAAGGCGAGAAGCAGAAGATTGGAGATTGCTGCGATGGCGGGCACGGTCGCGAGGAACATATTGTTCGGACTGTCAACATTCCATGTCAATACCGAACGTTTTCAGTGTGCATGCGATCGGGGCCAGCTCCTACCGTTCCTGGAGAGCCACCATGGTTGATGGAGTTGCTGTCAACCTGCGGACCAACGGTGGGAGTATTTTGCAAGCGTCAATTCACACACATTCATAGTTGAAGGTTCCAGAGGGCGGGAACGCCTGGGTATTTGTCTCTCTACCGTTATGATGACAAAATGCGGTGATGATGCTGGATATATCCGAAAGTTTCCACATGGTAAGCTCCCGGAAGATCCGGTGATGGAGATTTCCTGCTTCCGGATGCCGAGCTGTAGAACAACACGGAGAAAGGCGTTCGCTATTGGCTGCGTGTTGACCTGTCCTTGGTGCTTTTTAAGGCGGAATCCATGCTTGAAACTATTACTCACAGGTCTCAGGCCCATGATGACCCTGTTCGGAATATGGCAACAACGGATTGCCAATGTCTTCCAGCCCGTTCTGGTTTGCGCTCCAATAGACTTCGGACTCCGCGGACATTGACTGCACGAAAATGCTTGTCTTAACTAGCGTCACCTCGATCTCTCGTACAGAATTCGTATTCTCTGGACATTCCAATTCACAATGTAATAATGATGCATATGTCAATCGATCAAAACATGCCCAAAAAGCGCGTCTCTGGGCATAAGGGCACAACGCTCCAAAGTTGCAATAGATGGACTTTCCGTGTGTAGAAGTCGGGGCCGGATTGCGAAGCATTTATGTCATGATGTCTGCTTTTATGTAGGCTTCTGACTCCAGAGTGTGCTGATTTATGCTTTTATGCATGGTGTCTCTTCTATTGCAGCAACTTATGCTGGTCTTCATGATACGATGTGTTTCCTGCGTTGTTTCAAAGTGCTCGTTAAGGACGAAGACTCCTCGCATGTCGTGCTCTGGGAATTGGTAGGCGGATTGCGGATGTAGTTGACTCCGGCTGTCACAAACTCAAGAGGCATTCATTTAGGGGTCCTTAAATACACTTGCAGTTGCGTACTAGAAATGTCTTCTAAGGCATTATTCCAAACCACACACCACCACGGAGAGTTACAGGATGATAATTTCAAAGCACAAGCGTGTCTTATCGTATTGGATGAAAGCGGGCTATATTGGAGCTACCTGTCGAGGTTCCGGTCGAATTTATACTACCCCAACCCTAACCCTAGAATATGGTGTTCGCTGTACCACCACGTCGATTTGCGTATGGTCCGCGTATGCTCACTTATTCCAGGAATCGCGGGTGTATATAGCACGTTGTAAAGTATACCAAAGCTTCCAAGGCGTCGTGCTAAACGCCAATTCATGCCCTGCACTCAGAATGTCCTTGTCGTGGAGTGCATTGCAGAGCACGCATGCATGTCGAGTGCATATGTAAGACCTCGCAACGAAATGGACGACTTTGCATCCCGCAAACTCCCTCGTGTCAAATCAATCACAGTGGAGTCTGCTGTCCATAGTCAACCGACAAGTGGCCGGGCATAGTCCGCTCATATCGAATAGGCAGCTGCGCAATGGAGAACGGCCCATTCCCAATGCTCGAAGGCTCTGGCGGAGTCAGCTCTCCCCGGATATTCGCCGAAATCTTCTTGCGAACATCTTCGGGACTGAGACCGGGACATGCGAGCAGATATACCATCTTGGTATAAGCCGCCTCCATGGTCATATCGTACCCAAGCATGATACCTGCCTCGACCAATTTGCGTGCTGGCTCATATGCGTCGCTCACACTTCCGTGCAGACACTGGGTGACGTTGACAATAGCCACGCCACGTTTGACGGCCTTTTCAAGCGTAGGAATGATGGAGAGAGGCATGTTTCCAGCGCCGAAAGTCTCGAGAACGGCACCGCGGATGTGGGGTGAGGAGAAGATGATATCAACCAACTCGGAGGTGATTCCTGGGTAGATTTTCAGTACGACAACCTTGCTGCTGTCAACTTCCACCACGTCCTTGGTTGATTTGGCTGTCATCGTAGGTGTAGGATGTTGGAGATTGTCCCAGTGAACGACAATACCAGTTTCGGAGACGCTGGCTAGTGGTCCAGCATTTGGACTCTCGAAGCCGGAATAGCTCGAAGCGCTGATTTTGGTGATGCGCGTGCCACGAAGGAGTTTGTGACCAAAGTACACGGCCACTTCAGGGATGCGCAGATGGCTGGCCAGAACAATGGAGCCAAGGAGATTGTCYGAGCCATCGCTGTCAGCGAAGAACATGCTACGCTGTGCTCCGGTGAGTACAACCGTTTTCTCGAGATTGGGCATTAGCATGAACGATAGTGATGCAGCTGTGTAGGCCAGCGTATCTGTGCCGTGACAGATCACGAAGGCGTCGTAACTGGCTTCGTTTGATCGAATCACTCGAGCCAGCTGATTCCACGTCGGCGAATGGGCGGTAGAGCTGTCCAAAAGTGGATTGAACTCGAGTACTGCGGCACTTATCAACTTCACTGCTACCATTCGCATTGGTGGCCTTTCAACTCACCCGTGCATCGCACATTCGCGCCGTTCCTGTCTCGAGGGAGTTGGAGAGTTGGGGCTTCGCGCGAGACTCCATGCTCGTCCACCACAGGCGATACAGGAACCGGCGTTCCATCGTTGAAGAGTGGCTTGGGCGTGAGACACTCATCGAGGAAGAGCTTTGAGGTGACCAGTCCTTCGGCCGAGTCTTGCATGCAAATAGTTCCTCCAGCCACAATCAGCAATACGGATGGCTCGTACGCCGCTTCTGCTGGAGCTGCCTTCATGTCGCCGCGCGAGGTGGGAGCGGTCCTGTTTCTGTTATTGGCAGATACGAAAGAGAGCAGTCGATATATGCCGGATGACATGTGCGATTGTGAGGGAGCTCCAGATGTTGAATTCGAGTTGTTGGGATCTGTGCCCTCCTCACTCGTCGTTCTGGACATGTAGGGTGAATGCATTCTGGAGGTCGGATTCGATCCGGCCTGTTCGGGACTGCGAGATTGGTTCGACTTTTTCTTGAACATCTTGATGTATGTTGCCCGATCACTTTCTCCGTTCCTCAAGCTATCTCAGCTTGCGAAAAGACAAGACTGTGTTAAGCAGCTGGCGAGCTAGTCATATCATCCCGTACATAGAAGCCTGAAATACCATGGAGCGTTTGGCCACGGGTGGAGTGAAAGGTACCGAATGGAAGTGTGAACGAACCAAGGGGAAGGGAAAAAAGACTGGAACCTCTCATCTCACCACCAGATGAAAATATTTTCATTCACCAAGCCCACACTCCCATGGGGATACGTGACATGCAACCCACCCAAGGGGTATGGTGGTATGATAAGCCACGATGAACCCGAACAGTAAGTTCTGGCGAAGCTATTACCCCATCGCAATCAAGAGGACTTTGTGGAAGTTTTCAGCGGGAAGGACCGATGCACGTGACGGCTTAATGAACAGCCTGGAATCTTCAGTACAGCTCAATGAACAATCCTCAATACTCGCTCGCTGCTACCTGGTACTGCTGGACGATACAACAGCACCYCGAAGAAATGCTACGTTACGCTCGCTTCTCCGCCATATCCATGCTTGTCGTTACTTTCGTGCTGAATGTGGCACTCTTCAGCCTGATGCTTCTATCGCTCAATTCCCAAAAACAATATCATGTTCGCCATCCACATAGTGCATGTTCCTTCGCTTTGTACGCGCACAACCCAAGCGCAGACCACCTAAACATACCATTAATCCACTTCAGCGGTATCTACGAACGTCCCTGTCGTAGATATAGTCGCGTTCGTAGATGCGCTCATCGTACTTGGACCGGGGAGGAGCTGGAACCGGTGGTGGAGGCAGCATCTTGGGCAGACGCTCAATCTCGTCCCGCTCCCATTGCAGTTCCCGAATACGCTCGCGACGTTCACGTTTGATGTCCTCGGTGATCTCCACCAAACGTAGTACATCTTCCTGTTTTGATGTTAGCAGTATCCGGAAATAATCGGTTCTCGTCAACTCACGTAGCGAAGATACTCAATGWTGTAGAAGTGACCATCGGTCTCCTCGTACTCATATCCCTGCTCATCGATGGCCTCCTTGATCACTAGGTCTTTGGTGACTTCAGTCCACATCCGGTCCCGCTTGCGCGGCGGTGGTTGGGATTCCTTTCGCGTTTTGGTAATCTTAATTTCCTCCTTGATCTCGCGAGTCGGCTCTGGCGGAGGAGGAGGAGGGGCTGGCGCTGGCGGAAGCTGAGGCTGCGGGGACGGCGCATAACCATTGCCAAACTCAGCTTCGTATGCACGGTCGCCAGAAACAAAACGACCGCGCCTCTCGCCATTGTAGCGCTGCCAGGTGATCTCCTGTCGGCCACCACCAACACCATCCATGCGCACACGCTCGGTGCCTGGAGGAACATCGACAAGAGCCCAATCCTTGGTCGCGCCATTATAAGCCTCTCCAGGGTACGCCCGAGAAGCTATCTTGCTGTTGTAGTAGTCGGCTTCCGCCGCGATCTCGTCGTCGTACTCATCCTCATACCGTCTCCGCACGGGTGCCTGTGATGGTGCGCGAGGAGCAATGCTTTGAGAGCGCTTGCTTGGTCGGATTTCCTCCTCCTCATCCTCCGTGTCATACCAGTCCTTCTCAAAGGTGAAGTCCTCCTCGTAAGCCTTGCCATTCCGCGTGCCTTTGCGTCGAATCTCCAGCTCGAGGTGCTCCTCTCTCTTTTCTGGCTTCTTTTCTGGTTTCTTCTCCTCCTTCACTTCCTTGGGTGGTTCTTCCTCCTTCGCGCGTTCAATCGGGTGGTCAATATGTCTGTGATGCGTGATTATCTCCTGGATAATGGGTGGCAGATATTTCGGCTCTGGTGGAGGCGGCGCTGGTTCAGGCTCTGGCTCGGGCTCTGGCTCGGGTTCAGGTTCAGGTTCGGGTTCGGGCTCTGGAGTCTTTTCTCTTCTTCTGATGATAATCTCCTCCTTCTCGTAGTCACGTGGAGGAGACCGACGTGGTCTTCGGACGATCCATTCCTCATCCTTTCGCGCAACCAGCGCGCCCTGGCTAGGAGATCGTGGCCTGGGCGCCGGGGCACTACTCTCACGGATCTTGATCTCCTCTCTGTAGCTATCACGGCCTCTGCCCGGTGGAGAGCGTACCTCACGGATATCAATCTCCTCTCGTTCAACTACACGTGAAGGCCGTGGTGCTGGTGAGTGTGACTCGCGGATTTCAACCTCGGTTCGCTCCACCGTTCGAGGCGGACCTCCACCACGTCTGAACCGGATCTCCTCGACAGGTGCTTCGCTGGGAGGGGGTGGTGGCCGACTCTTCTCTCGCTCTCGCTCACGAATGGTGATGTCAATCTCCTCTCGCTCCTCACGTGGAGGCTCGCGTGGTGGGGGCCGGGAGCGGGTGCGTTCGCGGTAGATGACTTCTTCTCGATCGCCAGCATCACTCCGCTGGCTTCGCGGATAGGGCGGACCGCGCTCACGCTCTTCGAACACGATCTTCTCTATCCGTTCTGGGGCCGGACGAGAGCGTGGAGCGGGCGAACGGCGGTGATATATATCCTCATCTCGGATTTCCTCCCGCACAACCAGCTGCCCCGCGGTCGTCTTGCCATAGTCTTCACGGAGGAAGTCAGGCTGGCGTGGGCCGCGACTCACTGTACTCTCTCTGTCCTTGACGAGAGTCTCCGCTCGGCGCTCTGGATAGCGTTGGCGGGTTATATCCACCTCCAGCTCGTCGTCGAAGTTCCGGTCGCGGCGTGGGCGGCGATAAATGTCGCTCTGTTCATCCCGCCGAGACATTCTGAGTCAGCCAACGCCGGGTGCGTGCGTGCTGGTGCTGGAGTGATGTTGGGCTGACAATGTTGATGTTATGAGATGTTTGATACGCAGCAGCAGCAGCAGTGAAGCGACACCAGCGCTATGGGAGGCAGTCGCACTGCAGAGAGAGTGTGTGGGAGTGGCAGTAGCGGGCGGTGTGCGTCAGATGAGCAAGACGTTCACCTCGTTTCAGCCCGCCGAGACAGCTGCTGACAGYGACACTGACATGTATGTGTGGAGGACAGCCTGCGAGGTCGAGGAGGTAAGATATTTTGGGTCGTGTGCGCTCTTCTCTGTAGTATGAATGCTGCTTCCTGCCTCTGGCACCGGCAAGGCAGGCCGTCCCTACCGCGAGAGGCTTGGAATATGATTGAACCTGAACAAGGACCTGTGGTGGGGGGAACAACCTGCGGCCTGACATCACTCGCGGCCCTCATTGATCTCCAATCTTCATCAACTTGTTTGCCGTGCTGCTCTGCTGTAGCGTGGGCATCTCATTTGTGCATTTGCAGCATGCTCCATCCCGGCTCATCAGGCATGCTCGCCTGCTGTTCACCATTCTGCTGCCATCGGCAAGGTTCGGGTCGGCGGGAACAGCATCGTTTTGGCGTTTGGGCTCCTGCCGCGTGGGTGCCCATGGCAGGGATGGGCGCGCGCACCGTATCGGCACAGACTCAACGCCCAACCTCTGCCCGGCAGGTGGTTTGATGATGCACTTCACTTCGTCATGCGCTCGTCTGCAGGAAGGTCTCGTYTCATCCTCATTCTTCTGCTATAATACACTCCCTCCAGCCACCCGCAGAAGACGAAGGCTGTCGTTGCAACACAGCGCTGGGCGACGAGTGAGCACCGACATACTTGACCTCTGAAGGAATCAAGCGCACTGTACTGTAAGTTGGTACTAGTACTAGGTAGGCTATGCATAATGTTTCTGCGGTGTACGAAACGGGTGACGGTCGGTCGGAGTGGCAGGTTGCCTGAAGGCTGAGTCACAGACATCTTCTTCCTCTCTTCATCTTCATGCTCAGCCGTGGCGAAACAAAACAGGCATCATCTCTCATGTACAGTCTGAAATGGCCAAGAACAAAACGAAGGTCGCAACACAAGAACCGCTTGTACTGGACGGCAGGCACCTTGAAGGCGGCGGACAGCTGATCAGAATCGCCATTTGCCTTTCAGCACTCACAAGCAAGCCGATACAGATCGAAAATGTGCGCGGCAACCGTGCCGGCGGTGGAGGTCTCAAAGCTCAACACCTCGCTTGTGTCAACTGGCTAGCCAAAGCGAGTAATGCAAACATTTCGGGTGCAGAGAAGGGCAGCAAGACGCTTCTATTCAGCCCGGGAAAGCTTGAGGGTGTTGTCTCGCCCGCCTTTACGGAATGTGCATCGAAAGATGGGAGCCACATATATCAGACATCGCTAGACATTGGTACGGCTGGCAGTACTGGACTGGCATTACAGGCCGTATTACCTTTTATCTTGTTTTCCAATCTCCCTTCACATGTCCCGATTCACTTGAGGATTAGCGGCGGAACTAATGTCTCAGGGTCGCCGTGAGTTGTCCTGATGAGGAAATGTTGGAAAGCACACTAATGCTGTTTAAGCTCCTTTGAATACATCAAGCATGTGCTTCTTCCTACTCTCCACCGAATCGGATTCCCAGATATTAAAGCCTCTCTAGGCAAGCGAGGATGGTCACAAGGTGGATCGAGTATYGGAAACTTCACTCTGGAGATCCCTCCACGGCGAACACGTACTCTCTCATCGTTCAAGTACAGACCCGACCATACGATGTCTTACAATCCGTGCCAACCATCACACCTTCGAGCCGTAATCATCGCTCCGACAACCTGCCACGATCACTTCCGTTCAACCCTCCTACCTGCCATTCAGCAGAACTTCTCAACAGACTTTACAGCAACATCATCAAACCTCTCYATAACCTGCGAAGGCAGTCTTCATGCGAAGCGATTCTACTTTATTCTGGTTGCCACTGTGTCCTCGAACGGAGCATCTTCCACTTTGCAAGAATACACCCTTGCTAGAGATTGGCTGTACGATAAGAAGATCTCTTCGCTTGATCGCACTGCAAGTGAGATGGTCAAGCGGGTGACGGCTGAGCTAGCTGATGAGGGGCGGTCTGGGACTTTCGTGGACGAGCACATGCGGGACCAGCTTGTAATCTTTCAAGCTCTCGCGAGTGGGAAAAGTGAGGTATACCCTGGAAGGAATATGGAAGTTGCTGATGGTCCATTGCGTGAACCAAGTTTGCATGCGAGGACTGCAGAGTGGGTAGCGAAAATGGTCCTGGGCGTCAAGTTCGATTCTGAAGGAAGTTGCGAGGGTGTTGGATTTGGGGAGGGACAAGATGTTGCCACCCTAGCCAAAGGTCTGGACCAACTGCAACTGTGACAGCAACGAAAGTCGAGCTTATGGATGCCGAGTTGATTGAGTGAATGAATGCTGAATCTATCAAATCCATCCAGTCCTCCGTACATCCATCCCACCACGTCCTCACAAGGAAGGCCATTCCTTTCCAAATCTTACACCCTCTACATCGCCGAACTTGTCCAATCATGAATTCGCAATGCTTCATCAACGCCCGATTGCGCCACGCCGCTCTGCCTCTTATCCGGTCGCCGCGGCGTCTATGCTGGTTGTACGCCTATCTCGCAGGAAGGATTTCAACAATCAAATCTGCAAGGCTTTTTAAGTGACGGTGTAACCACCGTCAACACGGAGATCGGCTCCAGTCACGTATCCGGCGGCGTCGCTGAGGAGGAAGGTGACTGCTCCCATCAGGTCTTCTGGGCGGCCCATCTTACCCTGAGGAATCAGGCTCGTCCACTTGGCAGCCAGCTCGGGGTTGTCGTCCAGAATCTTCTTTGTGCTGAGAATTGTCAGTGGTGAGCGTTGTCATGTCTCTTCAACAACTTACAGAGCAGTGAGCATGTATCCAGGGGAGATGCAGTTCACACGAATGCCAGCGTGAGCCCACTCAACCGCAAGAGAGCTTGCGAGATGTCTCACGGCAGCCTTGGCGGCGTTGTATGGAGCCTGTGGCTGTGGAACGTTGACGATCGCACCAGACATGCTGCCAATCATGACCACGCTGCCCGCCGACTTTCGCTCCATCAAGTGCTTGGCGACCTTGCAAGACCAGAGGTAGGTTCCGTCCACATTGACGCCCCATAGCTTCTGTATACGATCGTGTGGGTACTCGATGGCGTCGAAGTTCTCGGTGAAGCCAGCAGAGGTCACCAGGTGGTCGACCTTTCCATGTGCAGCCAGGATCTCATCCATTGCAGCGTTGACGGACTCGGGGCTGGAAACGTCWCAGTAATGGGCGGTGACCTTGGGGACTTTGGCCGCGCCGGGGTTCTCCTTGCGGAATGTCTCCATGAGGAGATCAGCTTGCCTTTGACCTTCCTCCTCTGTGATGGGGCGTCAGCACGAAGATGGGATGCAGTGAGGATGTTGCGTACTGTTGAGATCGACAATGGCGACGTCTGCTCCGCTGATGACAAGCGCCTGGCTCATGACCAACCCAAGACCTCTGGCTCCACCTGTARCAACACCGCTTCGTCCTGAAAGGTGGTCAGATGGAGATTCTCTTTGTTGGTGGAGGTCCTCTTACCCTCCAAGCTGAAGGTGGCCAGTGTTCGTCGGAAATGGAAACCTCCACGGCCTTGCACGGGCTGTCTATACAGGTGTGAGATTGTGGACGTGAAAGTGTGATATTGGCAGCTTACGAGCTGGGGAGATCCTCCTCTTCAGGGTATTCGACACGAATGGTGTTGTCCGTTCGTGAGAACTGCCCTTCGTGCTCAAAAGCACCACGTTTGCCTGCGGTTGAGTATTCATCATGCTTGTCGAGTTTTTCGTCGTCGGACTTTTCGTCACGACGGATTGGAGTGGTTGCCAGACCACGGGCGGCGGGTCTGGTGAGGAAGGTGGCTGTGGGTGTGCGTGCGGCGGTGGAAGAAGCTCTGGAGACCTGCCGGAGCAGGTTGGACTTGAACATTATGTGCTTGATGAAGAAGGAAGGAGATGAGATGGAATGGATGTCGGCGGAGATTTCGATGGAGCTCAACTTTCCAATGTAAGGTAGATGGTCAAGAGCGAGGGTTGCTATAACAATGGCGGTGTCAAGACTGCACGCACGGTGGGCTGACGACGGTGTTTGGCACGAAAATTCGAAAGGGTCCCGGCGGATGATGAAATGGCCCACTTTCTACTTCTACTTCTTTCTACTGCCTGCCACGCAATTAATGATCAAGTCATGCCGTGCCTTTCCTGAAGGGATGAATGCAGACTGCTGCTTTGCATTTTGTTGACTGCTGATCGTTCAACCCTTTTTGCTTCCATCTCCAGCTCAAGCTGCTTGGACATGCCCACGCGAACCCATTGACGTAGCGTAGCGTAGCGTAGGTAGCTTGCTCTGGAGAGCTGTCCCCGGGGTCCGATCTGCAAAGCGACACGCTGGCTGAGGCTGCTCCGCGATTGGTCGATGCTGGGCATGTGACTCCACCTTTTGCAAGGAGGGAGAGATAAAGATGGGTGCCGTCCCGTATCAATCAAACACACGGCATTTTGTGCATTTTTGTTGATCTTTACAATGGCTTTTGCAGTGTTGAGATCCCGTCTAAGGTGTCATTCATGGCGGCTAAAAGGAACGGATCTTTGGATGAATGCCAGTGGATGAATATTCGATTGCACAATTTGGCCTGATCCGGAAGCAGTGTGAAACCTGGGATCTGGCCATCTTTGTCATACCCCTGGACCACTATCCCGCAAAAGAGCTATGAGTTGGGGAAGCGCTGTTGCTCTGCACGACGCTGGCGGCAGAGTGTTTGGACACGCTGTAGGTGCAGGTGTCCGTAAGGAGGTGGAGCATGACCCACTTGAGCTATATGACTGTGACTGCTTTTCCGGAGTGACATATCGTGATCCTCACAAGACTGGTGCTTTGRCCGAGTGGTTAAGGTAGACTGATCTCGTCTGCTTAATCGTGATCAGAAACTAACAGAGACAACAGGTGCGCCCCTGCTAATGCAGTTGTAGGGCGTTTCTTCGGAAGCAAGAGTTCGAATCTCTTAGGCATCGACATCTTTTTGCTATTGCTGTGTTCTCTCGTCTTTCATTTTGCCGTTGTAGAGCATCTCCAAGGTCTGCAGAACGCCCTAAGCTCCTCTCTTACTCCCCGCGATATCGACACGATTGGATTCGTTGCAAAGTCACTCAAGCTTCAGCCAAGTCCAGAGAGCACAGTGCCAGCTTTTGGGGACAGCTTCAAAGTAGTGAGTCTTGGTTACAGCAACGTGAAGAGTAGACCAAGGGCCTTGAGCCCGAARTTGAAGCTTGCCGCCTCTCCTTGTAGTAAGTCGACGACAACGCTCACGAACAGATGGCTACAAGCACAAACAGCAGCAGCCTTATGGAGAGTCAAATACGATGGAGAGAAGTGCGACTCTTTTTACACATACAGTGGCAGCATCATGCAAGATCTGCTGAAATCAACAGGCTTCCGCGAAGCAGTTCGATTCGTGGTACCACAGCCTGCAAGTCGTGGCCCATAGGGCGAATGAAGGATTCAATACTTCAACACTGCGGCTCGCCAGTTAAGAGGCCGGAGCTCAATAAATCTCAAGCATTGAGCTTCAAAGTAGTGGAGATCGAGTCCTCAAGGCCGATCTGGCTTCCTATGGCCCTTACTTGAAGCTGGACTGCCGTGTTGCGAGTCAAAGGACTTCGTTCTGCAGCTACCATTGGCGACGACGAAGTAGGATAGCCTAGAGAGGGACTCCTTCAGAGAGGGACTCCTGATACGAATGGGACAGGTTCATCAAGCGAAAGCAGGTGAGGTTCAATCAGCCTCGCATGTCGTAATGAAGAACTCAAATATACGCTGGATGCCAGTGAGGTCAGCTAATGATGGTCGTACGTGTTCTTTCGCTGTACGGTCGACGAGGCCTTGATGGAGTTCTTCAGTCCGCTCTGAGTGCAATTTTGGCATGGTTCGCTCCTGATCTTCGATGGACGTGCATTGCTTCATATATGTGTAAGGGTTCAAAGATACATAGATTGGATGGCGTGTTACAACCATCGTTTTCTTCTTGAGTACTTGTTAAACATAAGAAAGACGACCAATCGTCGTTGTAGTCAGATAGCATCCAGACGTGAGGTACAGTCCAACACCATATATGTATATCAAGCATTTACCCGATACTTCCGTCGCTCAATGTCTGGTCAAGAAGAGTAAAAGGCTACGGTGATCATGTCGCTGTTGCGTCCAAAGTGTGAAGTCATGGTGAAGTCCGCCGGGAAATAGGAGGTGGGCTGACCGGTCTTGGCATTCAGAAATTTATTCCCGGAACCACTATTGTTGCAACCAACGATCAATGGTGATGTCTCTGGAGGGGGAATCGTAGAGTAAAGAGTGCTGATTCGCATGGTAATCGATGTGATCGATTGTTAGACGGTTTGCCCATGTAGGAGGATCTGGAGGCGGAAAGTTGTATTGAGGTATATTTACATTGTGGAACCTCCCATCTCCATCAAATAGCACAGCTACTTCCTCAGGCACTTTGGCGGAGTGGTTAACGCGTTGCCCTGCTAAGGCAATTCCGTAAGAGCCTCTCCAATCATGCGGCATCAACAGTGACTAATATATCAACAGTTCGGGAGCGTGTGTTCGAATCACACAGGTGTCGCACATCTATCATCTTTTTGCCGTTCTACTGTTCGTTCCCCACTCTAGAATCATAGCTGAAAGCTTTACAAACGTCTCTCTCAACATGAATTCCATGGTTTCCTTTTGTTCAGCAGTCACCAAAGGGCCTACACCTCCCCGTGTATTATTGCGTAGCAGCCAGCGAATTGTACAATAGCACGACGTCATACAACCGAATCGAATGCTGTGAACAGGCTCCAAGTGACTCACCTTCTTCAGGTTATGCGTGGTTGCGATGTTGTGTGATATACAGAAGACAGTACATTCGCCCTGGAACGATGAGTCCCACTTCGATACCGATGGCACGCTTTCATTCATCCTGACAGCCGATACGTAGCGACTCTGTAAGAAGATGCTACAACGGAGTATATATGAGGAGAAGGGAAGATGCCATCGTCGATCCGTTTTATTCGGTTGAATACCCCTGAACTTCCTCAGGACAATAGGCTAATATCGAGCTCATAGTGAACAGCGATGGTGTATACCTCAACTAGATAGTAAACAAAACTCCTGATAGGAGTTCTCGTCGGTGATCATCAACGGATGTCTCATGTAGCTACTGTGTATAGGGCTGGTTTGGAAAAGGACGGAGGTCTGCTCAACATAGCTACCGGAGACCATCTAAGCAATGGAAAGCCCAAGCTATTGAGATCACAGCGAGGATCACACAAACTACCAAGAAGAAGCCATCTGATCGCGGCTGAAGAGCTCCAAGAACGTGAACCTTTGCCGTTCGTACCACTTCCTTTCCCAACGACGAAAATCTTGGACGATGGTATCACAACACATCATGATGCCGAGATCGAACAAACCAACAAGAAATGAGACGTTGACCATAAGAGATGTGCTTTCTTTGACTGGGGAATCACTCTAGCAGTCGAAACGCAGTCGCTGCCATCAGAATGAGTCAAGTATGAGTTTTTTTTTGCCAGGATGCGTCACACCAACTCTTGGTATGTGTAGAACGCACAGCTCCAGCATTTCATGTATACATACCCCGTTGATTCGGAACCTGCAAGATTTGAAGAATAACAGGCACAGTTTCAACTGTTGTGCACTCCAAGGCCTCTTCTTTCAGATTGTATATGTGCGCCTCCTCTCAAACCCGAGCAACTAGCAACCGACGAGACGCAAAAAATGTGTGCTTACAAACGAATAAAGATGTGACGAAAGTGATACATAGCATTCGTTGAAGAGAAGACAACTCTTCTCCGCCATGTATCGACGCACACAAGTGACCTGTTGCAAGCTCGATCCCCATCTACCAGCGACGATTGTGCCCACGGCTTCCAAGTTGTCTGCACCTGCACCCGTGAAACTCCGCACCGCTTCAGTCATAATGAGAAAGTGGAAGCAAGGTGAGCAAGGCATACGGCCATTGACTGTTGTCAAAATTGACCATGAAAACATGGAGATAAGAGCCGTGCGAAAGAATTGATTGAATGTAATTTTGGATACCTGGTACAAGCGGCAACCGAAACTAACTCATCTCGCAGCCGCCTTGAGTCCTTGAACCCACGAGTCCCCTCCAAGTCTCATCGTCCTCCGCACGATCCTTGGGATGAGCTCTTCAGGAAGTTGAGTGAGATCGCCACCTAGGCGTACAGTTTTCTCAAGCTGGGTAATGAGCCCCTGCTGCTGGTGTGACAACGAGTCATTGGGCAACGCTGGCGGTGAGAGGCATTGCGAGAGCGTCAGCGTGCCAGTAGGGTGGGCAAGTGCATGATCAAACTCCTGTTGTAATGCCTGCAGATCGGAAGTGTCGAGATTGGCAGGTAGGAGGGATAGGCGTCGACAACCATTTCGCATATGTCAAGGCCAAAGACCATGGGGTTGTCCGCAGAGGTCGACGCCATCAGCGTAACCATAATGGACGAGGATGTATTGCTTGACTTCTGATATCAAACAAGACAGGTCGACTATGAAGGTCTCGCACTCGTGAAGCGCCTTGCATCGCTCGATGAGGTCAGACAAGAGGATGCCCGCGTTCTCACAAACAGTGGTGAATCTGTGCTCATCGGTGTCGGCATCAGGGTGAAAGTCTTCACCATCGAGAACTTGGTGTGGTGATGCTCCAGGCGTTCGTAATGCACACCGACCAAAATTGGAGATGAAGCAACCTCAATCTCTGACCGGCCTCTCGAAATCGGCGTTACTCTCGTCGTCCGAGAAGATGTTTGACCGAATAGTGCGGATCCAAGCAGCTCAGCAGGTTCTTCGCCAGCGGAGAGCGGGTCAATCACGACGGGGACGGGAGATTATCCACTGGCTGAGCTTGGCGGGAAGCATGGAAGATGCTCTCAAGAGTTGGACTGCTGAGCGGACGGCGCCATGGTTTGCGGCAGCTTGAAGGATGCAACGATGCACAGCTAACGCCTTAACCGCAGCAGTGCAAATGGATGGCTGAGAGGTCGGCACTGGAGTGATGCAGAGATTGATTGGCAAGGCTAGCAGTAATGGATTGACCGTGTCGCCATCATTGTGTCGCCATCGCCATCACCTCAATGTGACCGCGGCGGCGGCGTTTGAAATGCCATGACTGTCGCGGTGGTCGGTCGAAATAGCGCGGAGTCTTCAGTACCTGCGCAAGAGGCAGATGCGATTATCGTTGTCGTGATACACCGAAGAAACGAGAAGACACATCTGAGGAAGATGTGGTGTTTGTTAAGTCGAAGAAGAAGGTGGAAGCTTGTTGACGAAGTTTGTGCTTCACAAAATGCACGGTCCATCTCCTCCCCTCACACTCACCTCACCTGTCCATGTGCTCCCACTCCCACTGCTTGAAACAAAAAGCGGAGATTCACAGCGCGTCCATCATCAACCTTTATCCGCCATTACACCCCGATGACTACACTGACGGGATCAGGCGGTCCCAATCTATCGCTGCCAACTGCTCACTGCCAACTGGTAGGTGACAGGTAGGCATACACTTCACTTCACTTTATATGCTCCGCAGTACACGCGCATATGCTCCCTGCGCCTTCCCCTCTGACTACGAACACCCGCAAAGAGTGTGAGGTATCGCGATCATCAATTCTTTACTCTACACAGCAGTGCATCCAACACCCACTGCGACAAAGGCCGGAACAGCGGGTGGAAGGACAACGTAAGGCGGACCACGAAGACGTCGTCAAGGATGAGCACAAATCTAGTCACAATGGCAGCCAAGATGAGGCGAGTGATTCTGAGGATGACGAGCCTTATGCCATCTATGACGCCACGACAAGCCTGACATCAAGAAGGTCAAGCTCTCTATCGAGGAGCATCAACAGAGCTTCGACTTCAGTGCCTACATCAAGCTCGCACATGACCAGCGCGAAGTGTCTGCATCATCAGAGAAGGTCATCAAGCGCGCACAGTTCCCCGGCGCTGTGATCTTGACGAAAGATGCCCAAGATGAACTCGGTCACTCATACCTACGACCACAAGGGCAAGCGCTTCAAGGGCAGCATCTACCCAAAGGAAGTCAAGCTCACCATGTCTACCGACGAGTACGACAACTTGAGCCCCGCGGACAAGGCGCAGCTCGACCACGTTCGCTTGCCTCGGAAGCTGTCAATTTCGACGAACCGTCGTCGCGCCCACGCCCACAAGCGCAAGAATCGCTGCCACCTTCTCAACAAGCGACTTACCCTCGACAAGAGGCGCGCAGAGCATCAACAGAGCTTCGACTTCAGTGCATACATCAAGCTCGCAGGTGACCAGCGCGAAGTGTCTGCATCATCAGTCGCTTCTGCACCGAACGAGAAGATCATCAAGCGCGCACAGTTCGCCGGCGCTGTGATCTTGATGAAAGACGCGTCCGGCAAAGTTATTCGGTCGGAGAGCATCGACTGCTCGGATGCTGAGCTCGCCTCCCGGGGTTTCTCTCTTCAACTTCGCCTCTCGATCGCACGCGCCAAGTCTCAGGCCTTGCGCGTGCGGAGAGTGGAGGGCATGGCGTCCAGCAGTGTGATCCGTGTGGTATCGGAAGGCGCCTCGATCACTGATTCCACCACCCCTCCCACTGACAAGGCTGTATCCAAGCTCACTGCCACGGACGCGCCGATTCAGTCTGAATTGGCAACTACTGGAGAGGAGCCCGACAACTCTACGTCTACTCCTTGCACTCCGACCGAGGCCACAGCAAGTAAGAAAATGTAATAACGTCGTCGTGCAAGATAGCTGCGATGATGCGCTCTCCGAAAGCAAGCCACCTGAGTATGCTGCTAGGCTCCGCTCTAGATCATCAACACCCGTGACGGCCGACGAGGGCAATGATCATGATGAATCCATGCCGACTCAGCCCTCGAGGCGTCTGTCTTCTAAGAGACGCAAGGTTGTCAAAGACAGCTCGGATGACTATTCACCACCTCAACCTCATCTGCAGTCATTCCCCGCGGTCATTTCGGCAAGCTCTGAAGATGACGGGACGAATCCACCGATGTAATGCAATGCAACGCAAAGCTGCCGCTCTCGTCACAGCTCTGACGCCCTTTTAACTGACGATGGAATCCTGCTCTCTGAAGGCGACGCCGAGGACAATACTGCTCCGGTCTATGCTGGCCCGTTAAAACTAGCGAATCCGTACGAGATCCTCGATCGTATCCTGAGCCACATCGCCCTTGATGAGGGGCGTAGCTACAAGAATTTTGTTCCGAATGCCGCTATTGCTCACAGCTTTGACACCTTTCTAACCGATGACGGAATCCTGCTCTCTGAAGATGACGCCGAGGACAGTACTGCTCCGCGCTATGCTGGCCCGTTAAAACCAGTCAACCGGCACGAGATCCTAGATCGTATCCTGAGCCACATAGCTCTTGATGAGGGGCGTGGCTACAAGACTTTTGTTGCGAAGAATGGCGTGAAGACAATCACCGCATTCACATATCGCAACTTCGCTCCATCCGACCGGGAGGCAACTGTCGAGGCTGCATACCGAAAGCTTTCAACTTCAAGCCTGTGGGTGAGCCAGACTTCGTTTGGAATACTGAGCAGCTCGAGATTCTTGTCAGCATGAGATCGAATACTGGCAAGATGAAGTTTGTGTCTGGACCTACTGCAACTGGTGAGACGACGCTGCAAGAGGCAGAGCTGTCGATATGAGAAATCATCAACAAGAGCAGCGCCCTGAACTGCTCTCTCGATTGATTAACGGCCACTCTGCTAGTAGCAGGCATTCCAACGGGCTCCAAATCATCGAGCCTATAGAGAGCGAGGCTCAGGACATTTTGGAAATGACTAAGGATGCCTTATCCTGATACATAATATTCACATCGACAGCTTTGGCAAGAGGTGACCATGAAATTTCTCCTGGACCTCGGCTTCAAGGTCATCTACGATGCACCCGCGAATACAAACATCGTCAACTTCATGTCGCGCTTCCACCGCGACTTCGACACAACAGAAATCATTTGCGCTGCTCCAAGCTCAGCAGATCTGAGCTTGCGTGATGATTGTCAGGGTGCAGGACTGGACGAGCCCACAATTGGCGAGATCCAGAACGAGATCCTCTTCAATCAGCTCTCAGCCGAGCTCGATTCCAAGGAAATCAAGCGCAAGTTTGTTCGCTCTCGCAAGTTCCATGTCCGCCAGCGCGTATTTCAGGTTGCAGCAGACAAGGATCGCACCCAAGATCATCAGTTCTCCTTTGACGCAAAATTGAACGAGTCCGACATTAACCGCGGCATGACTCAGGACGGCGAGTGGACGGATGATGCGGACCACGAAGATGACGTTAAGGACGAACACAAATCAGGTCACGGCGCCGGTCAAGCTGAGTCTGGCGATGACGATGATGAAGACGATGGCGAGTCCAAGGACAAGGCGATCAAGCTCTCTCTCGCCGAGGGGCAGGCTCTTCCCAATCACGATGTCCCTCGGCTCACTCCAGGCTGGACATGCAAGCGCTACATCGACCCCGACACCAGCTCAGGCAAGGAGGCAGTTCCGATTCCTGTGTACATCAGCCCCGATGACAAGGTCTTCTACGTTCATCCCGACAAGATCAACACGCGCCCGGAGACTTTCAATCTTTGGGACAAGCTTCAGGAGTTCATCGAGCGCGGCGCGGAAGAGAAGATCACTGACTGGATTGATGAGTCAACCGGTTTCAAGGATGTACAGGCCATCAGCGACTTCAAGAATCTCTACACCCGGGCTTGTAAGATTATCGTCGGTACTTCCAAGATTATTTGCTGCACCTCCGCAGTCGCTGCCGGTAACTTCGTGAGGAACAACTTTGCGACTCCGAGACCAATCTTGCACCTCTTCGGACTTCTCTCGCTCATGGACCTCCCCCTGTCTCTGTCTCTCGTAAAGTAGATGGGGCCGAAACAGCTTCGTCCAGCCGGACGAGGAAGGTCGGGTCAAGATTTCCGGTGCCTGTTGTAATATTTAGCCTGAACATCAGCTTTCGAAGAATTGGACTGTGCTGCACCGCACCTGACAGCAAATTGGAGCCGGCGGCTCATGTTGACGATTGGTAATCCCATTAGAGGGTAAGTCATGGAGATGAAGGATCCGATTTGGTTGTCAAGACATCATGGTTTGATTGGCGGGTAGCAGCGCGGTTCGACATGTAAAAAACGGAAAATGAAACAAAGTCATATCAAAGTCAAAACGCACTGGATATGTTCGCTTTCGAACAAAAATCAATCGTAGCCATTTTCTTCATTCTATCTGAACTCGGTGTGATTCACGCCATGTAATGTACCGCACCCACCTGCTCACGTCGCAGTCCATACCTAATCCTACTAGCTAGCCGTGCCCGTGGCAGCATCTACAGAGTCCTCGCCACCGGCAGCCCCCGCTACAGCAGGCTTGCTCACATCCCAGCCGTCCCCGTCAAGTTCCACCTGCTCCTTGCCCTTTTTGTCGTTGGATTCGTTGTGATCAGACTTGCCATCATTCACGAAGGTGCATTGGCAGCTCGTCGTTCGGAATGCGCTTCTGGGTCGTGACGAGGAAACTGGTTTTATCTGCGCCATGCTGCCTAATCGCCAACAAGAGCAATGGGCTATGTTGCTTGTCGGCAACCTTGGAAACGTCGGTATCATCGAACGCCTTGCCCATCATCGGACCTCCAACACTTGTCTGAATGTCCTTCGCGCGAGTGAGGGCCACGTTGACGCGATTATTATCAGCCATGAAGAAGAGCTGGGACTTCTTCTCCGCGTCGGTGCAGGTGTGAATGAAGCAGATCCAGTTGGCCTCGGTACCCTGGGAAGAGTCGATGGTCTGAACTTTGGGCTGCATATTGCGAGTGATTGAATTGTCTGCTGTGCGGATCTTGATGAGCTCCTCTGTGATGCGGTCAACAGCCTCGGCGTAGCCGACGATGATCTTGCATGCGTCGTGCGTGTCAGTCTCGAAGATTTTGCGCATCGCGGGTACGATCGTGTTGACTGTGAACATGACCTGCTCCATATTCACTCTGGAACTGGTCGTCTGGTTCATAGACACTGAACCGGGCACAATGAAGTGGTGATTTCGCAAAGTGCGCTCGTTGATTTCCAAGGCATACTCGTTACCAGATGCGGTGAACATGTCCCGAAGCTTCTCAACAACTCTGTTGCAATTTGGAAGAGACTTGGCGAGTGGCTTGTTGCAACACGGCGCGGTTCTAAGCTTTCCGCCGTAAACGAACTTGTTGGGAATACGCACAATGGCAGAGTGCATGCGAGACTGCTCAACGAGCTCGAAGTGGCGCATGCCCTCCTCAATTGCGCGAGTGAAGTATGACTTCTTGAGCTGAGCGTTCGCGTAGCTGGTGGTGTACATGCCACTGGATCCAGTGACGACAGGTACCAGCTGCTTTGTGTCGCCGAATGCAACAACCCAAACGACGAGCTTGGCCCAGCAATTGTACACGATGGATCCCCAAAAGTTGGGCTCGGTGTCCTTGGCACTCTCCTCCTTGAGGATGACAACGCCCAGCGACGGTCTGGCGCCATACTTGCCAGAGAAACAGTTCGTTCTCACGAGCTTGCTGCAAACAGAGGCAGAAGTACCGCAGAGAAAGCGAGTGTGGGCAAGCTTGATCTTGCAGCAGAGTTTGTAGACGTAGTGGAAATTCTTAATCGCCTCATCATCCTTGAGTCCAGTCTTCTTGTCGATCCAATCGTTGATGGGCGTGGCTGCGGCGCGCTTGATGAATGCCTCAAGCTCGTCGTACGCATCCTTGGTCTCGTCTTTGTTGACAATAGTGGACGGATGCATGGTAGAATGGCGACCATCAGTGTGAAGGTACACAAGTGTCTCGATCGCAACCTTCTCATTGGTAGACTTGTGTACCTTGCAAGACCAGCCCTCTGGCAGCATGGGTAGGGCAGGATCCATGATGCGGTCGGAAAGTAGAAGGCACTCATCATATGGTGGGATGCTGAAGGAATCCTCTGTAGGTTCGCGAGAATCATCGTGCTCCTCGTCCTTCTCCTCACTCTCAAAGCCAGTCTTCTGCTCGTCCGTGACCTGTGCGCGATCCTCGTACAAATCACCCCAGCTGCTCAAATTATGGTACACATCTGTCTCGATCTCTGGCTCGCCGTACTTGAAGCTGTGTGTGAGGCGCGTAGCGGTGTGGTTCTTGGCCTCGGCAAAGACCCTCGTCTGCAAGTTGAATCGCTTGGACGCGAAATGCTTGTTCGCTGCATCATGGCGCATAGAAGCAAGGTGATCGAAGGTGACATCATCTGCGAAATCGCCAGGTGTCAAGGCCTCCACCTGATCGTTCCTGCTCTGATCGTTCAGACTGGAGTCGAGTGACCGCGGCGCGGCGCACACGGGCTCGACGCTCGGGAAGTTCGCAGTCATGCGCTCCATGAAGTCTACAACGTTGGTATTGGCGGGCGCGTCAAAGACGACATCGAGACCAATGCTCAGGAAATAGTATGCCATCACCTGTTGCACAGTTGTCTTGCCAGTTGCAGCTGGGCCAGAGATTAGGAGGAGCTTCGTGGTGTCACCCTTCACTTTACTCAACACCTTGAGTTGCTCTGCATTCCACTTAAAGTCTGGTTGACCGTCTGGCTTCCAGTTCATGATGCGCTCGTAGACAGCATCCACCTTGGCATTCCATGATGCAACATTGGCTCGCTTCGCCTGTGGGCACTCGGAGGGATTAAAGTTCTCCTCGAGCTCGGCGATGGGCTGCTGGTTGAGCAGGAATGGATGCCACTGCTTTGCTGCATCGCTTCCCATGATGTTGATTGTTGCCATATTCTGCTTGTACAGCGTGTCGTTTGGCTTGATTGTCATGGTGACATCGTACGGATGCGGCATGTAGTTGTCTTTGCCGGGAACGAATTGCTTGCTCATACCGGTAGACTTGTCCTTGCCGCCGGGCGGTGCAGTCTCGGTGGCGTTGGAGCCGAGGGAAGCAGTGTTGCGATCTGTGAGCAAGACAGCAAGGTCGTAGTCCTTGAGAGTGAAATTGAAGCTGACAACAACGCCATTTGCTTCCTGGAGATGCTCGCTCTTCCTCGAGTGCCAAGTCAGCTTGACCTTGGTGCCGCCAGGAATACGGATGGGGACCTTGGCATCCTCGTTGAGGACCTTGAACGGGCTAAGCTTGATGGTGGCGAAAGGAATGTCGCCCATGTGAAATAGACGCATCTGATGCGGGTTCGGTACCATTTCAGTCTTGACACGTGTAGTGGTCTGAACTTCCTTCTGCATCGGCGAACAAAGCTGCTCGAGCTGGTACTTGGTCTCCCGATGCTCACCCTCAACTGCCTGCCCCATCTTGACCCGATATTCGTCAATCGAGCGGAAGACGTTGACAGGCAAGAAAGGGTACATGAGAGCTGGAAGACCACTGAACTTCTTCTCCATGAGCTGATACGGAGTCGGCATCTCGTCGGCCTGCACCTTGATGCCGCCGCTCGCAGATGCAAAGGCGTAGAACGGGTCGCGCATGAAGGACTCGGGAACGTGTGTTGTATCCGGGCCGTTGGGAAGATGCTCAAACGTCCGACGGAGGGTATTGTCGAGTTGCGCGATGCCTGGGACATAAGATTGATTGGCGGCAGCATTGTCCGCCATGATCTTGTCCTGCTCATCCTTGGTGAGCTCACTCCACTGCCTGCGGCGAAGGCCATCCTCAGGCTTCTTCTTCCGGATAGCTTTAGTATGTGGCTGATAGAACTTCAAAGTCATCGGCGTCGAGGTGTAAGTGCTGGTCGTCATTTTGAGAAGAAACTTCCAGACTTCCCGATCCTCGGCGCTGAAATCGGCGCTGAAGGCAGCGAGCGCAACGACACCGCTTCCTTTGAAGGCACCGTTGCAGTTGAAGCTCATCTCAAACACATAACCGTAAAGCTCCCCGTGATGAGAGAACTTGAACTCCTTGAGAGCACGGGTGCCAGTGAAGGGGATGATGAAGGACGCGGATGCGAGAGTGCTCGAGCTGATGGTGCTGTCCATGTATGATGCCTTGATCTTGATGGCGGGAGCAGTTGACATCTCGCTGATCGTCATGTAAAGTGTGAGACCCTTAAGGTTCCTCACATCACCATCCTCGTACTTGATGGTCGGAAACTTCTGGCCGCCTGTGAAGAACTGCGCGGGCAATTCTCGAGTATTCTCCACCACGCTGCGGGTGTAATGATCGTTGCGGGGGATATGGAGCTTGAACAGCTCCGTCGCCTTCGTGATCTCCTCCACTGCGAGGTCTTCTTTGGCAAGTTTGGCGTCGATGTCCTTCACATCGTCGAGCTGTGCGTCCGTCATCGCTTGATGTGATGAGGATGTGATGTGACGAGTGCTGGTGTTGATGGTCTACAGTGAGATGTTTGTAGGCTGAGTGGAAAAGTGATGTTTGTTGTTGTGACGGTGCGCGGCTGGTGGAGGGGTCGCGAATTTGGCGGTTGAGGCAGTTTGCCGCCAAGGCTGTCGATGTGAGGATTATTCTTCAAACAGGACACCCTCAACCTTTTGCATTTATTCCAAAGCCTCGCTCTCACACTCTGCACAGTCGATAATGTTAGAGCTGCTAGAGCTCTCGCTACTAGCAGGGTGGCCCGGCAGTTAATGGGGAGCGTAGTCGAGGGTGCTGCTTTTGTTGATGTTTCTCATACCGACAGCTCTGTTTGCCGCGACGCAGTTTGCCGTGCGGTCGAGTGGCACAGTGATTTGAAGTAGCGGCCGCAATGTGGTAACGTAGTTGTGGTCAATTATGAGACACAATAACGAAGTGGAAGGGGGATCGGGGGAGGGTTATGGAAAAAAATGGCTGAGGCGAAAACAGTAAAGAGTGAAGAAGATCCCTTGAAGTTCGAAGTTTTTGTAGTCGCAATCGCGCGGTGCGGGGAGTTGCTGATAAGAACAGCCAACGACATCACCGCCGGATTTTTCACACTCATGCCAGCTTCACTTGAGACGTCAAACGACCAGTGTAAAGCAGAATGCATGTGATCCATGCCAGTCTTGCAGGCAAGGGATCTTCTCCGAGATTCCACTCTTCGCCGCCTCTCAGGCACTCTCGCTGACATGCAGAACAGGTTTGCCTCTCCTCTCGGAACGCCTCGATACTGCTCCCAGTCGGGCAAGCGCTACCATTATGTCATATCTTTCTTGTTCGCACAAAATCTTCATCACTCCCGCATTTCCACTGGATGGTTCCGGTTCCAGGATAAGACCGCACTATCGGCCTGCGGTCTATCGAAGTTGAACTGACCGCGCAATGTCAGATCGATAGGCATCATCTTGGGTTCGTAGACTTACTTAAAACGCATATACTGTATGTATTACTCAACGGCGGCGGTGACTTACAACGTCACATTCMCATCAAGCTCTGAGTGGTGAGAAGATTAACGCAAACAAAGCATGGTGACAGCGATGGTTGGCAGTGCGAAAGGTGAGGTCAAGCGTTCGCGCGCTACACCCTTTTAAGGGTGAACTACGGTGCGCTTTTAGCGACAACTCTGCAACAATCTTTTTTTAGTAGAACTAAGGTACACTACTTACGCTACCTCGGAATATAACCGTTCTAAGAGGTTAGCGGTAATTTTTAGTTATTATACGGGCGCTTCCGATATAGCCTCTTTATCTAGTATATAGATATAGTCCTAATCGATAGATTAATTATAGAAGTAAAGTTATCTAAAGCTTATATTTATAACTATATATTAGGCACTCCCTTTATATAGTAGATAGATCGAGAAGTAGATATACGCCCGTATAATACGTTTACGACTATTAAAGTAGTACTATATAAATATCTATTAAAGGAACGAACGAAACTACTAAAAATAACTCCTCTYTAAACTTACGAAGTACCTACTATCTTTATTCTTATCGYAACCTTTTAGATTAAYRACGCTTCGACYRATTACGCGTATAATTTAYRGGTAGTTTACTYRTATTYTTAGATAATTAYRAAACCTTCGAGATCGTCCGCTTATAGCTTAAACCTYCTARRGTAGGATATTATTACTCTACTTCCTCGGTTCCTAGCTCTCCCTTAATTTCTAGCTCTCCCTTAATCTATAATCGAGTAAGTAGCTATCTTTACGATTATATAAGCTAGAAACGTATAAATATCTTACTAAACGAAGGTAGCGACTCGTCGTTATTATTATCGGTAGTATTATACTCTATAGTAGTATTAACCTACTCTTTACTTTCCTATCGAATTTAGTATTAGACTTTATCTACTAATATTTATACGGAAAGATAGTATATATACTTCTAAGGTCGGCTCTACTTTAACTACTAGCTTTAACTCTACTTTAACTTCTTACTTTATCTTCTTTTTCTTCTTCTAAGAGCTCTTACTCTTTAGAGTAGTAGTAGCCTTAGTAAGATTTGCGTTAACCTCGGCCTCGTATAATAGGTTATCCGTAGGCTACGATATAGAACGTCTCTTAAAGATAAGAAATACCTTATATTGCTTTCGAGATAGCTAGCCCTTTATATTAATATCGTTTAGGAAGATACGACTTAGCTTCCTATCTTTAAAGTCTAYATCTAGAGGTTAAATAGGCCTATCTCGGTTATTATACGACTACGTAATATATATATAGGTGTTATCCGAATATTCTATCTCCTTAGTAATATACGGTTTATTACCGAAGCTACGAATAGTAGCTACTATATCTTTAATATTATAATCCGGTACCGCGATGTCCTTAGGCGTTCCTATATCCTATTAGCGATTAATTATACGGCGGTATAGATAAATGCAATAATAGTATATAATATATATAGTATACTTAGAGAACTCCTTACCTTTCTTTAATCTACTCTACTTTAGTATCTTATCTAGATTATCTAGGGTAATATAGTATCTCGTAATAATAATCGTAATAATAAACCTAACTTATACGGTTACTATTATAGAGATAGCCTTTATAATACTATCCTTCGACCGTTAGCTAGGGGGTAGATTACCTATATAGTACTTATGCTTTAGTAGATTTATTGCCGCTTCCTTTTCGATCTTAATCTATTATATATAGGTTGCCTTTATACTAGTAAGCTACGCTTTATCTAGGAGGCTCCTACTAATATATCCGTTAAGAACCTTGTCGTCTAATATCTCGCTTTTATTAGAGTTAATAATAATTAGTATAGTRCTTAAGGATAGCGTATTCGTCCGTAGCGGTATYAGTATCGCCCGTATAATCGGTTTATTCGAAGGTGCCGGCGGTATTAGGTTATAATCGCTATAGAAGTAATATTTCTTATTATCTAGTATATACTTTATATAGTCGAATTAGGGCTAAGTAGAGTATATACGCTTCTATACTTTCTTTACTTACTTCTTAAAACTTATCGGTATAAAGCGGACTTATAAATATAGCGTCGTATACGTTCGTATAAAGGAAGGAATATCGTCTATAGGAAGGGAGTTAAAGGAGGATTTTAGTAAAGGGGTAACCCTTTATCGCTCTATAGATATAACTACGTAAAGACGGGGGATAGAGCGTACGCTATTTAATAAGTATTATATAAATATATAGGCGCATAAATTTGTTATATAGTTATTATAGAGTTCTTATAGAAATTATAGCCGGGGCCGCTAATACTAGTAGGGATAGAAGCATATTAGCTATATATCCCCGGTATATATAGTCCTATTAGAGTATTAGAACGCAACGTAATTCTATTATACCGATAATCTATTCCGACTTATCCGANATATTAGCTATATATCCCCGGTATATATAGTCCTATTAGAGTATTAGAACGCAACGTAATTCTATTATACCGATAATCTATTCCGACTTATCCGACTAATAATTAACCTCCGATATATCGCTATTACTACTTTCCGAGTTATCCTCTTTTAAAAGCTCTCTATTAATTAAACCCTCTAGTRYCTCCTTAAGCTCTTTACGCGAGCGGTTATTATCGCACTAATCGCGAAACGCTTATATAATATCTTCTAAGTCGACCTAAAATCCTTCCTACTTCCTACCGCCGCGAGGAATTAATATCTTATATAGTATATCCTTAGGAACCTTATATAGCTCTTCTACGAGGTTCTCGTATACGATCTAGTACTACGGCTTTTATACGCTTAGTATAAACTTATACGAGCTTAGTCGACCGAGCGGAAAGCCCTTTATTTTTAGAATACTTAAGTAGAGCTTAAGTATCTCCTATAGAATATACTCCTTAGAATTTATATATATTAGCAAATAATTTAAGATCTATTATATGCGTTCGCTAGTATAAATATATCCTACTTTACGCAAGCTTCTATAAGACTATTAAAGTAGGCCTTATCGATTAGATACCTAATACTTAGCCTTCCCTCCTTCTCTACCTAGTTATAGCGATAGCTTAGTATACTACCCCTTACGTGCGGTCTATTAGATTGTCTTCGTACGGGGTGCTTATTCTATATATATACGAACAAGGCTAGTTCTTTCCGTATAATAGGTATATAGATATACTTTATAATAATGCGGTTAGCCTTCTTTACTTTATAAAACTACCCCTTCTTCTTTAATATTATAAAGAAGCCCTATAATATTAAGATTAATTAGCCTAACCTATATAATTAGATTCGAATATAACGGGAGCGTTACTAAAGTATATATAGATAATATGCTCTATATACTTATATACTATGCCTTAAACCTTCCTCGTATAAGCTAGCCCTACTATACCTCGATACGGATATTAGTAGTGCTTATTTTAAATATAAAGCAGCGGCGAAAGCGTACTTTACGCCTACGAATAATCCTTACGTATTAGTATTAAGCCTACGCTATAAGGAGTGTCTCTTTACCCTTATCTATCCGAATAATACGAGGTACTGTTAAATATTAGTCGGAGGTTCGCAGATTTTTAGGGGTGGAGTAAAAGAGTATCCTAATCTTTAACTAGCTTACTGTCTCCGATAGGCAGTACTTAAAAGTAGGAACTAATGTGTTAATTAAGTTGTCTATCTAGAGATGTGTCTCTATCTCCTAAGAAGAGATTTTACCCTATATAGAGTTATATAATCTTGTAGCTACTTAGCTCTCTGTTATGTTAGATATATAGCTATTCTATAACTGCACTTTCTAATACTCCTACTTAGGATAGAATAGACTATATACATTTCCCTAAATCTTTTAAGATTCTATTAAGTGTAGAAAGGTAGTTCTATAGCCTAGTAGTATAATTCTATCTTAGCTACTATCTTAGTACAATTCCTTAACTTAGTATTATATAGTCGAATATGTCTGTTCGGACATCTTCGATTATATGCTTTTGCTAAATTTTAGAATGCTTAT